GAATAGGAAAGCGATCTTCGGATCTCAACCAGATTTTATCCTGGAATCCGATGCAAGCCTCTTGGCTTGGGGTGCTACATGTGCCCAAGCCTCCACAGGCGGTCTCTGGTCCCCATCAGAACAGGCACTCCACATAAATTGTCTCGAGCTCATTGCTGGATCCTTTAGGATACGCAGCTTTGCCAAGGACGCCTCCAACTGCTCCCTGGTACTATGGATGGACAACATCTCCATGGTGCGGTACGTAAACCTACTCGGAGGTTCCAAATCCAAACTTCTGTCCGATCTCACCAAGGACCTGTACCAATTCTGCCTAGACAAAAATCTGTCCATTCGAGCGGAATATCTCCTAGGACCCGACAACTTAGTCGCGGACTGGTTTTCACGTCATTGGATAGATGCCAGTGATTGGCAATTACACCTCTTCCTGTTCCACCACATTCATCTATTACGGGGGCACCTCACGCTCGACCTCTTTGCATCTCGCCTGAATCGTCAGACAGACTATTGTTTTCAGCTGGCTACCAGACCCTCTATCTCTGGCAGTCAACGCTTTCTGCAACATTGGTCGCGGAGAGGAGCCTATGCTTTCCCTCCTTTCTCGAGGATTCAACGGACCCTCCACCGGGTCAAAGCGCAAAGGGTCAAGATTGTAATAATCACTCCACTATGGAGGGCCCAGACTTGGTTCCCCACCCTCCTGGAACTATCAATAGACTACCCCATCCTACTACCTCGCTCCTTTCGGGTTCTCAGGAACCCAACGGGCGATTACCATCCACCCGCCCTACAGTGCCATCTTCAACTGGTAGCTTGGACAGTTTCAGGGGAGCTTGGCATGTCACGGGACTTTCATGCACTGCTCAAACACTCCTGTGGGACTCGTGGGCTCCAGGAACCAGGCGAACCTATCTCTCCGCATGGCGGATTTGGGTCAGCTGGTGTCTGGAAAGGGATCTCAATCCCGTTTCAACACCTCTTTCACCCATTTTAAATTTCTTATCTCTTTTCGATCAGGGTAAATCATACCGATCGATTAATATTTTTCGCTCCGCCATTTCGGCAGCCCATGACACTGTTGATAATTCCTTGGTCGGGAAACACCCTTCTGTGTGCAGACTTTTACGTGGCCACCTACTGCCAAATACTCTAATTTCTGGGATATTTCTAAGGTTTTCACACTGCTGGATTCCTGGCCATCTAACGAAGCCTTATCCCTACGCCAACTCCCTGCGAAATTGGTCCTACTCCTGTGCCTGGTAACCTTCCGCAGAGTTTCAGACGTTCAGGCCTTTGACTCATGCTGTGACCTTTGCACCAGACAGTGTCAGATTTACTGTTACTAGACGCACTAAGACGAATTCCTCCTCAGTCTTTTATCCATACTTTCCCGACAAACCGTCTCTCTGTGTAACCCTGTGTACCTGTTACATTGAGAACACTACCTCTCCATGTTCCCCTACTGGACCTCTTTTTGTCTCTTACGTTAGAAGTGTGTATAGACATATAGGCTCTACACAAAATTGCTAATATATCAGTATAAGAACCCATTAGAATCTATTATGGGACCGATCTACTAAGTTCTTACACTTTCAATGCACTATTGTTTTAAGACTTTAGGAATAATCTTTTGTGTGTTAAGCAGATAACTTATAGTTTTACCATTTTAGTATTATCTGCGCTTTTTTATTTAACAATTTTAACTGGGTTGGGAACATGCAGCACAGATTAAATGAAAAACAATTCAGGCTAGACTCATTTAAGACAAAAGCAAAAAAGTTTTACCTTAAATGGCCTCAGTGTGTTGGAGGGAAGGTGAGAACACACTTGCAACAGATTCTGAGTGGACCTGGCAAACAGTTAGTTGCTGCTGGATAAACAAAAAGTCCTGGAAACCAAAATATTGAAACAGGGAGAGAAAATAATTACAGAAATAATTTTGAAGTCGCATGCCACGATGGAAAGCATCGCAACCTGTACATGTGTTCCACCGCCAGGACCTCCCAGCTAGCACACACATGCGCACTATAGTCTGCCCGGCCCCTGGCACGGTCTAGACAGAAGTAATACAAACAGGGGAGAGACAGACGTCCGGCATGCTTATCCCTGGCAGCTCCCCGAAAAATAAAAGCATAGCCTCCTGAACCTCAGCCCTCTCACCACACTCCTGGGGGAAAAACCTGACACCCTCCTCTGCCAAAGAACTAGGGCTGTCTTAGATAAGAGTCAATTTATAGTGCCAAAGGTTAATTGAGGGAGGTTCTTGAAAAGTTTGGGGGATTGCCTGCCTGTTTTCTCTCTCCAGATTAGAAATCCCATTTGTAAAGCACTGCCTCTAATCTGAAGGGAAAAAGATATTCCGTGTGTGAATGTAAGCCTGGAGTATGCGTGTGAATGTACGTTTGAATGCTGGTATGCACGTGTGTAGTGTATACACTTCCACACAAACGCAAATACCCAGACTGACAAAGCAGTACACATGCAGACACGTTACACACTGACACAGATACACAAACAGGAGCAAAGAGTGACAGTGTGGAGGTGAAAACCAAATACCTTGGTGATCCAGTGTCTGTTTTCCTTCCTGGTGGCTCTTGCTGTCCTGTCTGCAGACCATGCAGACATAGTGTGGCGAGCTCTGGCATGTGCAGTTTGATCGCTGCCGCGGCAATACTCTGATCGGCTGTCCTCACTGACAGTTACTGCATGGTCTGCCCGTAGCAGAATGGAAGGTGCACAGGGCTTTATACCCGTTTCATATGAACCCCTAACCCAGCGGCACATATTGCAAGTCGCTGGGCCCTCGGGCCTGACTGTCGAGTTCCAAGCGTGGGTCAGCGCAATCCACCAGAAATCAGCTGGCAATCCATAGTTTAGGAAGCTCACTGGGTCAAACCCAAAGAGAATAGTTATCCTAAAGTAGTGTGTAAGTGTGTTTTGGATGCATGTCTGAGAATACATTAACATTTTGTGGTACATTTTATGGAATTTGTCAAGGGATACTCAAATGCAAAAAAATAAAATCGGGAACTGAGAGGACTAATTCTATTGTCCTCACCTGGATTTTAGACCAAATATACTTTACCTATTACCCACTAGATTAACCCCTTAACGCCATCCCACCTTAAGTGGGCTTTAAAGCCATTGCGGCAGCATAGAACGCCGTAACTGCTTTGAGCCCTGGAGCGCCCGGGATACTTAACTACCCATCGCTCTGCTTTGGGAGGACTGCCTCACACCCCAGGCAGCCCTCCCATGGCAAAAGAAGCCCACGGGGGCCATGTGATTGCTCTCAACGAGCAATCACATGACCCCCTATAGCTGGCTGTGGATCTGCCAGCAGGGGGACTGTCTAAAATGTCAGACTGTCCCCCTGCTGGTGGGAAAGTAAAAAAATTATTAAACATGTTAAAATAAAATTTAATATATACATTGTAATATACATAGTGTATTTTAATATGAGCACATATATTTGTATTAAAATACACTTAATGATATATTACAATCTTGAAACAAAGTTTTATATAAATTATATATTCATATGTAATTTCATTCTAACTGTATTTTGTTTATATGTAACAAAATACTTCAAATGACATTCTATAATACAAATAACTGCAAATATAAATACATTTTACATAAAAGATTAGTATACACGTAGAATTTAAATATGTATAAATGCATATATTAAAATTCTACATGTATATTTAATCTGTTAACATAAATGTTATTTGAATTAAAATTTGATTGACATGCCCAACAGTAGAAAGTGCAGAGAATTTAATTCGCAGGCATTAGATTTGACCCTGTAACTGTAAGACACCATAAAACCTGTACATAGGGGTACTGTTTTACTCGTGAGACTTTGTTGAACTCAAATATTAGGGTAAATTGTATTACGATATTTTAAGAAAGGATTGCTTTTTTTTTTTTACAAACGAACGGCACTTTTAAGGACTATATTATTGGTGTAATAGGTTATACTGTTTTAAAACACTAATTTGTGTTTAGTGAAGTCTCCCGAGAATAACAGTACCCCCCATGTACAGGTTTTATGGTGTTTTGGAAAGTTAGAGTCTCATAAGGCTTGCATTTCATTTTTTGTCATTGAAATTTGCCAGTTTGGTTATGTTGCCTTTGAGAGCATATGTAGCCCAGGAATGAGAATTCCCCCCATGATGACATACCATTTCCAAAATTAGACAACCCAAGGTATTGCAAGTTGAGTATGTCCAGTCTCTTCGTAACCACTTAGTCACAAAACACAGGCCAAGTATTAGTTTGCTTTTTTCACACAAAAACAAATATGAACGCTAACTTTGGCCAGTGTTTGTGACTAAGTGTCTTAAAAAAAAAAAGAAACATACCCCACTTTCAATACCTTGGGTTGTCTTTTTCCAAATAGTTTGCCATTATGGGGGTAATTCTCATTCCTGGGCTACCACACCGTCTCAAAGGTAACATTACTAAGCTGGCAAATTTCATTTTGAAAATGGAACATTCTATATTTGACTTTCCAAAAACACCATAAAACCTGTTAATGGGGTACTGTTGTACTCGTGAGACATCGTTGATGTGCATTTTTTTTGCAGTAAAACCTAACAGTAGTTTGACATTCACAGCTAAAATGTGAGATGGAAAAATTTAAAAAAAAAAAATTAATTTCATAATAAATGTTCCATATATGACTAGTTAATGATAAATTAAAGCCCTGTTTCTCCTGAAAATATATAAGTGTGGGTGCACTTAATGTGACAGCGGTGAATTACGGTTGAACAGACATAGCACAAATTCCAGTTTTTGTTTACGTTTTGAACAGAATGTGCACTAATGACTCCGTCCTGAAGGGGTTAAAGGATTATTTTACTTTAAATCCTGTTTGACACACCCAAATAGTTTACAGTACCACAGATTTTGGACGTGTTGATGTGCAGAGTGTTCCCTGTATCCAACATTAAAAAGCATTTCATTCTGTTTACACAGTTTGTAAGCACAGACAATTCAGATTATAAAAAAATTTATTCAAAGTCAACTCTTGCATTTGAACAAATGAAATTCTACAGTTAACAATGTCCACTGTACTCCGTCCACTAAAATTTTAAGAACATATTCCTCAAGTCCATACAAAGTTTAAACACAAAATGTAATTAAAAATAAAAAAACAACTGTTTTCTTCCACAACTTGCTTTAGATAACGAAATCATTTACTAATACATCCCACGCCATCCAGCTGCGCCCATGCTCTCATGCTGGCCATAGTAGCCGCCACTGTTTCCAGTACTGCCCCTTCCTGGTGAAAATGGGAATATAAAGGGAAAAAAAAAAAAAGGAAATTTATAGTTGCACATTTTAAAATCTGAGTCTGAATGTACTTAACCAGTTAGCATACCCCCACCCTGAAATTACTTCTGCCCAATATACAGGCAGAGAATATGAAAAACACAAGTCAGCATATTTATACTAACCATAGCCACCTAAGCCATCAGGATTTGGATAACACCCACTGTAGTTGCCAGTCATACCCATTCTGCTCACAGCACCATAACCAGTGCCATCTGTGGAAAGAATAAAGTTTACAGAACTAAAAAAACATGCAAGTATTTTTACACAGTATGGTTCCAGGTCTGAAAGGACAATCGAGTAATGAGACTGAGAAGCAACACATGATCATTAAATTGCATACCTAGTGCTTCTCTGCCATAACAACCTATTCCTGTGCCACCACCAGCTGTTGAATTCAGGAACAACTCAATGTATCGATGTTCTATACAAAGGGGTGGAAAAAAAAATAAAATATATATATAAATATACAGATAAAGATTCTCATTACCCAGCTTTGTCTACGATTTCACAGAAAAACCAAACCTTTTCTTAAAGTGAGGTACTTACGCATGTTATTTTTGTCTTTAGACATTGCTGCTACTGCATCCTCATGTGTGGCAAATTCTACATCTGCTTCTCCTGTTGCTCTTCCATCTGCACCAATGTCTATGTGAACTCTGATTGGTGCCAGAGGAGAAAAGAACTGCATAAAAAAGGAGAAACATTTTAAGACTAGAGGACATTACTATAAACTGAATTATAAACAGTTTGTTTTGTTGCACATATAGCAACATGCACAACATGGGGAATAAAGCTACATATTTACACTATAGTAATTAGGAGTCCATAAAGTACAACCTAACCACTAATACTTACACTAGCAATGTCACTTTCTGTAGCACGGAATGGTAGTCCTCTCATGTGAACAAAGTGCCCACTGTGAAATCCTGTTGCTCCATCACCACCACTGTAAGCCTGTGCAATGCCTGGATAGGGAAGCAAAAATTGATTATTCTCCTGTGGAGCTTAAAAATGGTTTTGTTGAAAGCCTAAAAAAAAAAAAAATAATAAAAAAAAAAAAATTAAAACAAAGCCTTACTTCTCCCCTCTCTAAGTCGGTCATCAAAACCATCTGTTCCATAGCCATAGTTGTTATAACCACTGAATTCATCAAAGCCACCATAACCTAAAGAGTAAGGGGAAGGAAAAAAAAAAAAAATCCATCAGAAGTCAAAGATCTCAATAGCTTTGATTTTGCATTAGCTCCATATAAGCATGAGGGCAGCTCTCCACTGGACTAAAAGAGAGTGAGCCTTCAGTTTCATTATACATACAGAACGTGGCCAATGCCAAATAGACAATACTTTAAAGGGACAGCAAAACAACCTTAGTTTTTTAGTATATAAATCATATCTGCAGCCTCACTGCTTAATTAACTGCTATTTAGGGGTCAAACTTGTTTTTATGCAGTCCTAGTCACTCCTATTTGCATGTGAACAGTCTCCCTATACACTTCCCGTGAAGAGTCAGCTGTTTAAACTTCCTCCATTGCAAATTAAGTTTTGATTCTTATCTCCTGCTCTATTCATAGCTTACTAGACCAGGTCAGAGGCTCCATTATGTAATTAAAGTTCAATTTACAGAGCTGGCTATAAAAACTTTTAGAGATACGAGCGATTGAAAAAGAAACCATTTTGTTTTCACGCAGCTTGAGTTAGTCAGCCAGAGGAGGTGAGACTAGGGCTGCATAAAAATAAACCAATTTTTTAACTCCTAAACATAATTGAGCAGTGAAACTTCAGAGGCAGGATCCATACACAAACAGCTTCATTAAGTAAGATTAGAGTTTATGACTATACTGTCCCTTTAAGGATGCAAATTATATTTGACACGATAAAATGCAGAATAGAAGACAACTTACCACCTCCATATCCACCACCTCCGCCGCCACGCATTCGGTCATAAATATTCCCACGCCCAGCACCAGTGCCATAATAAGCTCCACGACCACCACCTGCCATTGGCCGGTCATAGGGGCCAGGACGCTGACCTAGCATTCTCCTTGGAGGATCATAAGATGTTCGGATCTCAGTTCGACTACTCTTAAATATCTCAATATATCTACGCAAAAGTTTATAGAAAAGGAATATCAGAATTTCATTGCAATTAAACACAAAATAAAACCAAACACTTTTTTTATCATGTTAATCAAAGTAAAGTTTACAAATACTGATCAATTTTGATAAAGAAGAAAAACAAAATAAAATTTAAAGCAAAACAAAAACAAAAAGTAAAATACATTTTATTGCTTAACATTGACTGGAAGATAGTTTAATCATCACACCCCCCTCCCACCAAAATGGAGCCCAAAAATAAAAGACAGATTCACCATCCCAGTCTGTCCATCCCCACCTGTGCCCTATTCTCTCCTTGTGTTTCCCCAGAGCATTTTCTGCTATCTCCTTTGAAGCAAACTGCACGAAGGCCTCCCCTGTGCTTCTCCCCTGGTAGTCGACCGTCAATGTTATCCCATTTGGCACGATTCTCAACCCTTTAACCCAAGGACAAATAACCCCATCAGGGGAACAGTGTTAAAGTCTGAAACAATCCCAACAATACTGACAGCTTTAAATTTCCCATCACCTAACAGCAGATCCATATTTAAAAACTAGGATTTCCCACCACCCCGCAATTACCACATTTACACAGCAACTTTTAACTACACGTAACTTATATCTAAACTGGTGTCTTTTGTGTCCCAGTCCTATTTTTAAAATACACAGAAAATGACTAAAAATGGGAGCTGACACTGGCATGTATGCTACAAAAGCTTCTGGTACAAGCAGAATAATTATGTTACTCAATATACCTGAGAAAAACTGTACAATCTCCTCTTTGCTGCACCCAAAAGGTAGCCCTCGTAGCCGCACTGTTCCATCAGTGGCCGTGTCAACATCTCCAGTGCTATTGTGTTTCAAAACCCATTCCATTTCTGTGTTATTTGACTTGAACACTGGAAGAAAGGTAGTTTATATTATTTAAGACAGAACGAGACCAAAACAATTTTCACAAAGTAAAACACATTGTGAAAATGCCATTTTAACACCTGGAGACACCTAGGATTACCTTCAATGTATCTGTGTCCCATATATTTACGGTCTTTCTCCAAAGCCTTCTTAAGATCGTCGTCTGTTTCCAGAAGAATGAAAGCCTCCCCACTTGGACGTCCTTCTTTGGATGTGGTGAAGTGAATACCACTAATTCCATCAAGTATGGCGCAGTCTAAACAAAAAATAAATGCAATTAAAGTCTACATTTCATATGCACAAAAAAAAAACAAAAAAAACACGACTCTAGATTCTCTATTGTTCACACCAAGATATATTAGTGGGATTTGTGATACGTGCAGTGCCTATTTGAAGTTTGAATTGAAAATATACGGACCAAAAAAAAAAAAAAAAAAAAGTGTAAGTCTAATTTTGATAGAAATATACACACATCGATCGCAAAAACAAAAAATACAAATATTGAACATACTTGAAAACTAGAGAAATCTCAAAGTATACTCCATGGTAAAATATTTTAAATAAAATATTGGATAGTAGAATGCACAGTGACATCCAATAACAGGTTGAAACTTGGAATTTCTCACCTGAAAAGAACTCTAGCACTTCTTCACGTGTGCAAGACCATGGCAGGCCACGAACTCTTACAATGTATTCGTCTGACATTATTTCCTACAGTCCTGAAAACAATTAAGGTTCATTAGTCAAAAGGAGAGACAAACATTTATAAACTAGCTATGGCACTCACATTTTAAACACTTCTAGACAAAAGCCTGGTAGATACAATGCACCACTATATTTGGGAGTGTTAAGGAGAAGGAAGGTGGACTTTAAATGCAAGTAAATCATAGATGCACTTTATATGGATCACCGTCTGCTTTTTGTACTAGTTGCCAAGAAGATACTGCAGAGTTCTAGAACACAAACCCTCCAAGAATAAAAGCACATGTAACATGTTGCACCAGGGGGAACTAACAAACTCAACCTAGCCTCAGAGTATGATCCAAGCCAGTGAGGAAAACTCAATGAAGTTACAAGTGTAACACATCTAGAAGTACTGTGGATAATTATATCTGCAGCTCATACTTTTTTTCCCTTTAATAGACAAGAATTGTAATCGTTTTAAAAAGGAAAAATGTAACTACAAACTAAACGTATTGGTAATACTCTACATAAGAATCTTAAGTCTTATGTTGGTTGATGTTCCTTAACATCCAAAATTTACTTCTAATAGGTCGAACATAAAATAAAAATAAAGCTAAGATAACCCACAACACAATGTACTTAAGATCATATGCAATAGTTAAGAGTTTGGACAAACTATATCCTCGGATGACATGCAAAAAAAGCATAACGTACTCAATTGTAATGCTCACGTGTTAAACACAGTGAAAATTAAGCGACGTTCTCTCGAAGTTAGGACACGATAAAGTACTTTTACAGAAAGAAGCAACGTGTTTCTTCCTGAAAACTGACTATATCACAAGTTTCTGCGTTCAGACGATCTGTTTGAAATGTAGCCAGTCAAATTTGCCCTTGTCTGACAACCTGATGACTGATCTACATCAGCGGGAATCAAACCTGTCCGACCTCGCTACAGACACGAGACGAGTGTTCTGATTGGGAGCTGTAACCGCCCCATCATGAACATCCACACACGGCATCCAACACCACAACCGCACAGCATCCCGGTAACCGGGCTCCCAACACGAGCGGTCCGCGAGCAGGGTCTCCCGGTAACCGGGCTCCCAACACGAGGTAACCGGCTCACTATGGGAGGCACATGGCGCAGGCGGTGCTGCTTTACGGCCGAGTAGGCCAAGCCAGCCTCCCCAGCCGCCAACGGAATCCATGGTAACCTCTCTGCTGCCGTTACCAGGACCGAGGGCTCCAGGCCGCCCAGGGAGCTCCCACACGGACAGACGGGGGCCCCAGGGAGCTCCCACACGGACTGGGCCCGGGGTAACATTACACAAAATGGCGGCTGCGGCCTAGCCTGACACGCCGCACGGCAGCGAGGGATTAAGATCGCTCGGCGGTGGGTACCAGATATCGGCGATATCCCGGCTCGCGGCCCGACCGACCGACACGGTGAGAGGAATAACAAAAAAAAAAAAACTAACAAAAAAAAAAAAAACTTAATAAATGGTGGCCCGGGCAGACCTGGCTGGGCCGCTCTGAGTAACGGCTGGGGCCCACACGCGGTGGCGATACCGGGCATGGCCGGCACTATGGCGGTGATCCTCCTCAGAGGCGATGTGCGGGGAGGGCGGCTCACCTGTGTGTGGCGAATCAACTGCAGCGAGCGATGAAGAACGGCTGAGCGGCCAGTAACTGCTCCTTTTCATACACGACCTGCGCGCTCCGGCGTGCTCTGCGTGATGGCGTCACTGCCGCGAGGCGTCGTGGCTCGAGCGGGAAACTTCTCGGGGAGGAAGTGACGTAGGGCAAACGGACACTTCCGCCCTGAGTGCTTGTTGTTGTTGTGAGCTGCAGCTACTTCCGCCCTCATTGGCTATTCATTGGCAGTGAGTGCAACAGATAGTCTTTCCTGTATGGCTTATCACTGCATTGATTTTATTTTTCTTTAATATGTAACTAATTTGTTTAGTTAAGCAGTTAATATTGTTCTGTATTATAAATCATGGTGTTTCCCCCCCCCCCCCAGGAAGGTTAATGTGATAGAAACATTTAAATACATAAAGGGAATCAACACAGTAAAGGAGGAGACTATATTTAAAAGAAGAAAAACTACCACAACAAGAGGAAAATAGAGGGGCAAAGGTTTACAAATAATATCAGGAAGTATTACTTTACTGAGAGGGTAGTGGATGCATGGAATAGCCTTCCAGCTGAAGTGGTAGAGGTTAAAAGGACCACTATAGTGCCAGGAAAACATACTCATTTTCCTGGCACTATAGTGCCCTGAGGGCGCCCCCACCAGCCCGGCTCTGGAAAGGGGTAAAACTTACCTTTTTCCAGCGCTGGGCGGGGAGCTCTCTGCCTCTGATCCTCCTCCGTTCCTCCCAGTCGGCTGAATGCGCACGCGCGGCAAGAGCTGCGCGCGCATTCAGCCGGTCGCATAGGAAAGCATTATCAATGCTTTCCTATGGACGCTATGCGTCTCTCACTGTGATTTTCACAGTGAGAAGCACGCAAGCGCCTCTAGTGGCTGTCAATGAGACAGCCGCTAGAGGCTTTGGGGGAAGGCTTAACCCATTCATAAACATAGCAGTTTCTCTGAAACTGCTATGTTTATAAAAAAAAAATGGTTTAACCCTAGCTGGACCTGGCACCCAGACCACTTCATTAAGCTGAAGTGGTCTGGGTGCCTAGAGTGGTCCTTTAACACAGTAAAGGAGTTTAAGCATGCGTGGGATAGGCATAAGGCTATCCTAACTATAAGATAAGACTAGGGACTAATGAAAGTATTTATAAAATTGGGCAGACTAGATAGGCCGAATGGTTCTTATCTGCCATCACATTCTATGTTAAACCTTTTAAAACAGTCAGTTTGGTTTCACTAATCTATTGTATGGAAATATATAGTATTCAATAGATTATTTTAAGAAAATACAGCATGTGACAGTTTCAGAGAGGGGATATATAATCAGTTTAACCACTGCAACTCCCTCACCTTGCAGCATGTAATGTTATTATTTAACTAATTATCACTATAAATAATAATAATTAAATAGTATTGTTGTGTGGATCAAACACTCTACAGCCTGGTATTATCTCAGGGCTCAGAATTTACACTAGCCTTTAGCAAGCAGAAATTCACCCTTGGTGAGTTGAGTCATGGACCCTCCAGGCTTGCAGAGGCGAGTAACTTTTCAGGTCTGGCTAGTAGCGAAATTTTAATCACCGATTATATCTATAATGGTAACTGAAAGCTTGAAAATGTTTCTACCATTCAGGTATGGTTACCTTTATAATGAAAAATTCAAGTGATTTCTGCAGCTTAGTTTATGTTAATACTAAAAGGGTTAAATCATGTTTAGTCACTCTACTCAGAATTATAGCAAACAGAAATTCAAATACACCATTTAGGCAAAAATAGCAAAACGCTGATAATATTTTACGCTGTTTGCCTCAATTTTGTCATTCAGATTTTAATTTTGTAAGTTTTTCAATTTAGCAACTAAGCTCTTCAGTGTATCCTGCTTTCAAGGAATAGTAGGGCTGGCCTGAGATCAATCATTCATTTTGCAACAACATCAATGATACCACTATCTCATTTACTGCACCACTTTCCTATTTAGTCTTGAAACCTATTTTCTTTACATTACAATACATTATCCACTTACAAAACACTCCCTTTTAATTAAATCAATAAATGCAACTAAATCTCTAATTCCCCTCCACTGGGAAAAGCCACACAACCATACTTATATAAATGTCTTTATACAGTTAAAGAAATGCAAGATAAATACCAAAAAAACTGGTTTTACTGGATTTTTCCCCAGCTGCAGCATGGATATCACTTAGTAGCTGCTAACATCTGTCTTTATACCATCATAAATTGTTAGCTTCCAGGCACAAACCCCGCATTTCAACCTATTTCTATGTAATTAAAGGGACTCTCCACTTTCCTGGCACTGCAGGACCCTGCAGTGCCCCCCTCCCTCCCAACCCCCATGCCATGTTGCTGAAGGGGTTACTACTCCTTCAGCAACTTACCCGAATCCAGTGCCGATGTCCCTCTGAAACTGCTATGTTTATAAAAAAAATGGGTTAACCCTAGCTGGACCTGGCACCCAGACCACTTCATTAAGCTGAAGTGGTCTGGGTGCCTAGAGTGGTCCTTTAAGGGTGGTGGGAGTTGGCACCCAATCCACTCCAATGGCCAGAAGTGGTCTGGGTGCCTGGAGTGTCCCTTTAATCAGTTCATTCCTTTCTCACATCCTCTGTACAGTCTATGCTCACTCACTCTTTTGTTTTTTGACTTTGCTAAATGTTTCAGTATTGTGATTGGAAATTGTTATAACCGATATTTACTTATTTATATAATAAAAAAGCATGTTCAGTAAAAAGTATTTACACAAACAAAAAAGTATTTAACAAATCAGAACAAGTATAATTGTAATATGAACAAAAAGCATACAATTTTATCAATTTGTGAGTCTTGGATTTTGTTAACACGCTTACATTTTTCTGTATACAGAGAGTTAAAAACCCAAAAAACAGACATTTGCAGTCAGGGCTAAATTAAATATTGTTTAATGAAATAAACACTAATTTTTATTTGTTTCTTCTCCTTTGGCATCTGAGTAATCTTCGTAGTACCAAATGTACTCGTTTCAGGTAGTTTTTCATCGCTTCTCCAGTTTCTTAAACTTTGCCTCTGTAAAATAAATAAAATACATTTTATCATATTATATATGGAAAATATCACTAAAACAAAACAACAACAAAATATATGTAAAGTTTGCACCTAGTCGCTTTGAATAGGCATCTAGTTTATAAGCCGCATTTTCCAAAGATGCCACTTGTTCTTCAATCTGATTTATTTGTTCCAGATATGGCTGAAGACTTGCATCTGTAAAAGACTAAAGTCAGTCACTCTTTCTGTATTATGAAGGATGATAAGTTAACATGATCACATTTGTATAGTGCAGAAACCATGGTCGGAGTAGTATATGTTTTTAATTTAGATTTTTTTTTTTTTTATTACATCCATAATTTATTAAGATTGGTGAGAACTTTTATATACTGAGGAGAATGTAATGCATACATGTATCATGGGAAAAACATGGAGTTTTGAGGTGTTTGCCGTTTGTTTTCCTCAATGTAAGGGTTTCAGGACATAGCGTAATATTCCCAGGATCACATGTCTGGTGCCAGCACCTTTATATTCTATATATCTCACTGGATCACAGGTGATTGATTTCTCCCCCCATTTCTACAATAACACATACATTCATTATAAACAACGTTTTCTATATGTCAACTGTATGTTACAGTAACTGCATGTAAACAGGCTTGTGAATTTTTTTCTATTTGGGGATAGATTAACAAAGAGGGTATTCACCTACCTACAAGGGCTCCTGCCTAGGGACTAAGGAATGTCTTTGGGGAAAAATTTGTTCCAGCTGCAAGACATGCACATAATGGGATTTGCCTAATTAGATAAACAGGGACCTATTTGGTTAGACAGGGAATACAATAGGCTTGTGATGTAAGTAACTCAGGGACTACCAGTAAAAGGTTATTTATTTACAGCAAAACTGTTAGTCTAATATTTTCCAATGTACTCACAGGTTTTGTTCAGGTCCTTGAGATTTCTACTAATATTTTCTGATATATCTTTCATTTCCATGTACTTCAAACATGTTAGTTTATTCATGTTTTCTAAGAGCTTGTAGTCTTCACATGTAGCTGGCAAAAAACAGTTATGTTGGAAAATAAATACTTACACATATAAAAGTAAATTACAATGATGTGGTATTTTCCTCCTCTATTTGAATCAGTATCAACTTCTTTATTAGAATAATACTGTATTTTAGAAACATCAAAATAGTGTTAAAAGGGACACTATAGACACCAAAACCACTTAATCTCATTGAAGTGGTCTGGGCGCGGTGTCCCTGTTCCCTGAACCCTGCAATGTAAAATATTTAAATTTTAGAGGAACTGCAATGTTTATTTGGAAGGTTAACTCTGAATCTAGTGGCTGATTTCAGTACATGGAATGTAATTGAAGTTAGTGGCTCTGGGGTTATGTCCTCTTAATTATATAATATATAATGGCATGTTTCCCTGTATAACTGGTTCCCCTAAGCAAGAGCTAACAGACCACCTGACCCTCTGAAATACTGCTTCCTACCCACCTTATGTTAGGAAATCTTTCCTTGTAGGAAGTGGATTGTACAATATGGTCTTTGTTAAAAGTTGGTGTGAGCACAACTGTGACTTTGCATGCATGAGGGCACTCTACCCCTTATGGAGCTTTAGTTTACTACCATGTAATATGATTACAATCTTGAGCAAAATACATGAGCAAAACTGTATCAAATATTTTTGATTCTTACAGTAATTTGGCTTTGCAGCAAATTTAAACTGCCTCGAAAATTCATTGTTAAAAGCCAATAAACTGCAACAGTGCTGGGTACTCTTTTCCAGGACAAAAATCCAGACTCGAATGTAGTGCTTTTTCATCAAAATTGCATAGAAAATATGTATAACAATAAACGGTACATAGTGTGGGGCTCACAGTAGGTCCTCAGTGTCTGAGGAAGTGCTGTGCAGGTACAAAACAAATTAGCATCTTTCCTGGTGTGCACCCGCCCCTCTGAAGTATTAGTATTTATACATTTCTTCATGATATATTGATGGAATCAAGCTACAATATTTATTGCTACTATTGAGCCCCTATTTTTGTCCTGGAGAATAGGACCCAGAGCCTTTTCACTTTAATGTGATTTCTGTGGGTGGAGAACCTTCCTGTCTGGACTCTGCTGGTAAGATTTATGGATTCGCTTTTGTCATGTATTGTTGATGCCATTGGGCTCTGAATGGAATCTGTTTAATTATTCAAATCCAATGTGCAAATCCATGAACAATAGCCAAATTTGCATCCAAAATGTATCAATGAATAAATTGAGTTTTCTCATTCAGTTTGGCAATATAGCTGCAAATTTGGAGCTTTATAGATAGCTCTCATTTATAGGGACAACATTGGACAGATATACAGAAAGGGCCAAATAATTATAATAAAATAAAGGTCAACACACATTTATGTTGTATTCTATGGAGCAGTAAAGTACACATGTTAAATACAGTGAACCTCCAAACAATCAGATGGCTATTGTAATACAAGCTTTTAAGTATGGAAAACATTCATTGTATTCATCAGAATAAGTTATCAATGTTAATTACATATAGTATTTTTACATACATATCAATAGTGTTCTAATTTTTGTTTTCTGGTTCATGTATACAATTTCTAATGCTGATACTGATTAGAATAGCAGAAATCGCTTACTGCTATTCAGTCTACTACAATTTATATTTTTTATGGAGCAGGCGTTTTAAACAGATATTCCACACATCTCAGAGGATATAACTCTGTTAATATAATTAATCATGTGCAAAGAGTTCTGTGGCAGGACGAAGCCACAGAAAAATCTGCATGGGCCGCGTAAAGCCTTTTCAGGGATACTCCAGGCACCCAGACCACTTCTGCCCGTTGGTGTGATCTGGGTGCCAACTCCCACTACCCTTAATCCTGCAAGTGTAATCATTGCAGTTTTCATAAACTGCAATATTTACCTTGCAGGGTTAAGTCTTCCTCTAATGGCTGTATATCAGACAGCCACTAGAGGGACTTCTGTGTTCATAGAACACGAAAAGTGTTTTAAGCAATGCTGGACGTCCTCACGCTATGTGAGGACCTCCAGCGTTGCCAAAATCCCCATAGGAAAGCATTGAATAATGCTTTCCTATGGGGAGGTCTAATGCGCGTGCGTGGCCATTGCCGCTCATGCGCATTAGGTCTCCCCACCCCCCCACCCCCGGCTGACACCTGCGGGGGAGGAGTGCAGGCGGAGACTGACCAGCGCCGAGGGACATCGGCGCTAGACTCCGGTAAGTCACTGAAGGGGTTTTAACCCCTTCAGCAACTTGGGGTGGGGGGTGGGAGGGAGAGGGGCACTCCAGTGTCCTGCAGTGCCAGGAAAACTAATATGTTTTCCTGGCACTGGAGAATCCCTTTAAGGTAACTTAATGGCTGACTGATTTAAATTGACTCAACCTTCAGAATGCTATAAAACACAAAGACTAAAAAATAATTTTTCATGCTTCCCAGAATTCCATATAATATAAATAAAAGTAACACTCACCTAATAGTTCCCCAGTGAGATAGCAGGACATTTTGTTAAACATGTCTTTGCAGAGCTCATTGATATCTGCTTCTGGTGGTTCAACTGCTTCTTCAGCTGTTTCGACCGTTGGGTCATCTAAATAAAGTTTTTTGAAATTTTTTATTACTGAATGGTCAACATACATAAAAAATACAATTCAAACGTAAGGCCAGTGAAAGCATAACTAACTTAGGGATTTTTCCAGCTTGGCTATTTTGACCTTAAAGGGTTTTTCCAACCCTTTTTGTATGAATAGAGTAATGCCACCTGGCATTATTCTCTATGTCCCCCCAAAATAAATAAATTCAAAGATTATTTTAAAAGAAGTTTTACTGTACTCACCTAAACCCAGCAAAGCTCTTGGTGCACCCCCTTCTAAAAAGTCAAAGTTGTCGCACCGAGGTCCAATCAAAGGTTTCTCATAGAGAAGCCTTTCACTTGAGGATTTAATGTGCTCAGAGTGCATGCGCGCTCTAAGTCCGCAAGGGAAGGGGGGAGAGGAGGGTGGTTGATTTAAAAAAAAATATCAGATGGGATGGGGAGGAGGAGGGGAGAGTTTTTGTCTTGTCTGACATTTTTTATGCAGTCTGACATTCTGGCTGCCAATATAACGTGTGCTGGGTGTGCAACTTATATCTGGATGTGCAATGTTTGATGCTTGGAGTAACCCTTTAAGTGTGAAATTCATTTTGAATTTTCTCTTAAATCTGATATTGTTTTATTAATTGCTATTACTTTGTTTTCCAAGCAATTGTACTATAGATGGCAGTTAATGTTTTTTTTTTTAAATGTACACATTTGTTTTTAACAGGTAGAGCATATTTACATTTCTTTAAAGGACCACTATAGTCACCCAGACCACTTCAGCTCAATGAAGTGGTCTGGGTGCCAGCTCCCTCTAGTTTTAACCCTGCAGCTGAAAATATAGCAGTTTCAGAGAAACTGCTATGTTTACACTAGGGTTAATCCAGCCTCCAGTGGCTGTCTCACTGACAGCCACTAGAGGCGCTTCCGCGATTCTCATTGTGAAAATCATTGCGGCAATCACTCTCTCCTTCTTGGGTAACAGGCTTCCCTGGGAGCAGCATAGGGCCTGGCAGGGTCACTACATAGGTCAGCTGACGCTAGGCATTGGCAGCAGCACAGAGAGTCTGGCATGAGGTGTAGCCTAAACAGAAGCCCTCTTCAAATCTACTGAACTGCCTTGCCTGCCTGCAAGTTTCTCAATTGTTCTGTGCTTTTGTATAGTGTGCAATTGCCTATAGTGTATTACCTGCCCTAAACATTATATTATGACCCTTGACTTTGTCCTCTGACCATGCTTGCGCAAAGTTTACTCTATGCAGTGAGCCCATGGGCAGAGTGCTTCTACTGTGTTTTGAGCACTTGTATGGTACTTTCCTGTTGGGGACCTGCCCCTTATGGCATCATTAGTGATTTGATTTGAAAGGCATCAAAGGGACACAGTAAGTCCTTAACCATTTCATCTCATTCAATTGGTTATAGTGCCAGGAGTCCCATGGCATTGTCTCTCCATTCAGTGTCAAACCATTTTCACACACAGCTGGCCACTACAGAAGGTATGGCTAAGGCAGAGATTACACAAATCCTTATAGCATACCAATTCATACCAGCAATGGGTGCTATTATATGCTGAATGCTGTCAGCTGACACACACAGCCAATCACAGCCACCCATTGCTGCTCAGGCTATTTCCTCCTTATTAGCCCACACAACACAAAGGGGACGGGCTGCTGGGGACTCTCGCTTAGCATTACCCATGACCCTTATCAGTTAACAGTTTGCTTTTTAGGAATGTTGTGATTGTCAGGACATGATCAAACCTTGAGATGCTGGAGGCTGTGGTGCAGGAGGTGCTACTGGCTGTTCATCCAACTGTGGCTTTTCAGGTCCCTCCATTTCAGCCATAGCTGTGAGAGGTCCTTGGCAGAGTTCTGTAGGTTTGACAATGAAGCAATGAAAACTATAATCTGAAATAACCAAAATAAGTGTCACAATAAAATGGAGACTCTAGATGAGTTTAGGATATAATCTGTTAACCAGCATACATTTTCCTCAATGGGAAGCCTGATATGCTTTCAGACTCTAATTGGTGCCCAGTTCAGGACTTCGACATTGAAAACGGGGCTTAAGACAGAGGAACTAGGGTTGAGCAGACAGGGGGACTCAGGACAACTAAAGGCAAGAAAGCGCCCAGGATCTCCAGGCAACATAACAATGTAAATGGTTTCTTCAATAAGCAGCAAATTCAAAGATGAAAAAAGATGTCACTGTAGCTGAGTTGGAGATTCTTTAAAAAAAAAAAAAAAAAATCAGCTATTTTGACCTACAATTTATAGTTTTCTTTTCAAAATCAGTTCAATGTGCTGTTTCACAAATAAACTACTTGCACTGAGTAGGATGAAAGAGTTGAAAAGGATTATTCACTCCAGTGTAAATTGTTTAAAATTCTAAGTGAATTTAAAGAAATTTTGGTGCCAGGGGTGTCCTGGTCCCACTCTCACTGTAAGTAGTCAAACTATTTCACAGTGGTTTGATTTCGGGATGTAATGATTATGATGCTTAGCCTGTGCCTTTAATTTTTCAATACGACTTTTGATTCAATGCAGTTTGGAGATAAGTGAATAAACCCCTAAACTGTAAATTGTTGTATATTCAAAGGGAATATCAAATTTTAAGCCAAAATAACTGAAATGAAAACATAACTCAGTTTTATTCAATAAACTCCAACTTTTAATAAATCAAAGCCATGAGATCAGCTATTTCAGCCTCAAATGTACTATTTGGACTCAATTCGCTAAATTTCAGTTTTTAGTAAGCCTGACTTGAGAGATTTTTTTTTTTTTTTTTTTTTATCCATTTCAGCTATTGTGTCATAAAGTCTGGCGTTCATTTTGAATTACAGATAACTGATGCCTAATGGGTTTACTATCTAAACATCAAATTGTATTGAACTGAAACCTAAATTGGAAAATGTAAGGTAAAATAGCAGGTTCCATAAAAATCTACAACTATAATCACAGATTGGCCATTTTTACTTATTTTTTTTCTTTTTGCAATTGAGATTACAATTCATTGTTTAGTGAATAAACCACTTAAATAAAGTAACCTGTTATCAGCTACAAAGCAAGTCTCTCTGGGCTCGAGTGAAACATTTTGCTCACCTAGCAGCAGCTACTTCCGTGTTTACATCACAGCAGCTACACGACCCGGTGGCACATGTTACACCACATCACCCTAGAAGTGCGCTTTGAGGCCTCGGCGGCCATGTTTAGTGCTGGCAAAGCTGCCCTATCTCCTTGCCACACTCCAACATGGCAGCACTACTTACAGTTTGTGCTGCTGGATATCTAGATCTCTCAAGGTTATCGTGTAAGATTGGCCTAGTCGTTTGAACTGCACTCTCCCATCAGGGTTTTCAAGTGTCAAGATCACAGAATTCGGTAATGATACAATGAAACGGATACAGTGTTGAGTAACTCCTTTGGGTGAATGCCTGATAAGGGCACAGTGTTGTGTTAACGCCGTCATTTCCTGCCTTGTTACAGTACAGACCCCTGGGTAAGACATGTGCTTCATTTCTGGGTACTACTGTACTGATTATATTCTGTTGTGATTGACCTTCCTACTTGTGCAATGTATCAAGAGTAATACTGGGGTAAAGTTCTAAATGTTCAGGGGCATTCCATTGTTACCATGGTGACTGCTCCACTTTTAGAACTTTTCTCCAGACTTACGTTTTATGCATAACCCCCTAGGACAGTGTTTTGGATTAGTGGGTATAGAATGCTGGTTGGCACGGTACCTTTTTTATTCAGTTCAGGACAATCTTTGTGTAGTATATTTCTGTGAGGCTGGGTGTTTGAAGATCACTATCTTTAGTATTTGTCCTTGTGAACAGTCATTGTTTTGGACGAGTGGTTAAAATAGCCCCAGCAGCTCAAACAATATAGGACTCCTCTTACATTGTTGTAGGATGTATTATGTAGACGTATGTCCTTATTCGAGCATTGCTAATGGAGTTATTTATGTGTTATTGAACCTATAGGTAACAGATTTTATGAGCTTTTAGTTTTTACTTTTTTTTTTTTTTTTAACCTCATCTAAACCAATAACAGGCATTATCTATCTGTAAATGAACATGGCCAAAATTTGGATACAGACGGTATAAAAATAGTGATGGGTTTACAGATATTATTTTAAAAAGGTTCAGTAATGCTGTAATCTATGCTTCTAAATAATAATGGCAAGTTTATTTTAACATTTAATTTGCTTTCTTAAACCCTTTTAGGCCAGGTTCTCTCAATTAAAAATAGTATACCATTTATAAATATGGGAGCATAGTTATAATGTGAAGTAAAACAGAAAGTTCCTTTATTCATTTGAATAACACACGAAAATTTAATTCTGTTTAATTTTTTTATTTATTCGTTCACCCTGTACAGAAATATTGATTAAATGTTTCAAATCTTTTACCATGCCACATTTCTTGCAAGGTTTTAAATAGAATGCAGCCACAAGGTTTTACCATATAGATTGTTATTGTTTAGGATGAGGGTGTTGGGGGAGGGTTTACCATTTACAGTGTCCAAAATGGAGTCCTAGCAGAAGTGTTTTTATTTCTTCAGAGAGAAAACTAATACTTGGGCATTCAAATGTATGGTGTAAATTTAGATTTTCATCGGTTTGCACAGCACAATTAATGTTGGCTTAAGTGTTACAGGGTGGGAAATTAAAGGGTTAGTTGCACGCTATTGTTTGTTTGCTTTTTATTCTGTCAGCCTTTAAAATTTACTTATGAATAAATAGACTGAAACACAATACATTGCATTTTGCTTGTGAATGGGAGTCATGCTTATTGTCCTCAAATCTTTCTGTAACTGCTTAATTGAATATGGTGATCAGAATGGGAAATTTACAAAATGCCAGATCCTGCTCTTGACAATCCCTTATCTCCTTGATATGGTTTTTAGTAGTGTCCTCTTTGGAAAAAGGCATACCTCAGTAATTGAAACCTTATATCTATTTACATAACAATACAGGGGATTTCCTGCTAGCTATCCAGTTGTAATGGCTACCATGGTGACGGAATTTATCAAATGTAAGTTTAGAAATAAAAGCGTCACCCTAAATATGTACTAACGTTTATTCTGCTAAGAACCTTGGACCTTTAACAGAGTAAAAGGGTCTCCTTTTGCAATGGTAAAGGCAGTGTCACTTTAGTAAACAATTTTTAAGTAGGTGCTTGACTCTGGTATATGGAAAGTGTCCATTCCAACCTAAGGACATGCACTTAATAGAAAGGTAACCTAGATGGGGGTCTTATTCCAAAGGGTAAATGGGGAACTGTAAGCACCATAACCACTACAGCCCATTACAGTGTTTGTGGTGTCGGCAGGCTTCTGCTTCCATCCTTCTCAGTCAATCTCAATCTCAATTTTTTTTTTTTTAAGCAGTTTCACGTGTTGCTAATGTGGATGTGTATCTTCCATATTAGCAATATCCGTTTTGTACAAATTTGGATGGCATTAATTGGCATCAGCTGACCTGCTTCACCAAAGGTAGTGTGGAAATTCAGCCTCCACATTAGAAGTATGGTATCTGAATGACCAAGTTGTAGACTGCCAGTGAAAGCTCAGTTTGTGTCACGGGAAGTCACAAAGCAAGCTAATTGTATTCTTGTCAATGTTGGTTTATGAGTTAGAAAACCTTTGGATATGTTTTGTAATAGAATTAGTTTGTGCACCTTTTTCTAACATTTGGCAAAGAATGATGAGATCGGAAGAAATATGCATTGTTGAATTTGGATTTGTGTTAGATTATAGGTGTGTTTGGGCTCAAAGGTAAAACTTTGTTTGGCAGCAAGTAGATTTGGATCCACGTTAGATTACAGAAGGAAATATCAATGCCAAACCAGTTAAATCCAGCACAGACACTTTTATTTTAGTGGACGAAGCAGGAGGGGTGGCCAACGCAAGAGTACTCTTGAACATCTCTAGTGAATTACGAAAAATATAATGTAGAAGAGTACATGTGTTTAGAAACCTAATTTCTAAACAATATTATTGTTTACAGCCGTGCTAATCTGTTTCATTGCTGTAAAGCATGTAAAGCTTTGATATAAGTTTGTACATTCCAAACCTGAACTTGTAGAAAAGAGGAACACTTGGAAAGTATACTGTTCACAATGTGTTGTTTTGTTTAAAATACTGATCTCTTACAGTATTCACAGGTTATTCACTAAATTTGTGAATTAAAGGAACCCCACCCCCACGGGGGCTATCGGTGCTGACTCCATCTCTGCCTCCTCCAATGTCAATGCAGGGAGGAACTTAAAGGACCACTATAGGCACCCAGACTACTTCAACTCAGTGAAGTGGTCTGGGTGCCAGGTTCCCCTAGTTTTAACCCTGCAGCTGAAAACATAGCCCTTTCAGAGAAACTGCTATGTTTACACTGCAGGGTTAAACCAGCCTCTAGTGGCTGTCTCCCTGATAGCCACTAGAGGCCGCTTCCACGATTTACATTGAGTAAATCGCACTTATTTGACGCTGGATGTCCTCACGGAGTCCAGCATCAAATAAGATCCCCATAGGAAAGCATTGAGTAATGCTTTGCTATGGGCAGGTTTGAATGCGCGCGTACTGGCAGTGCGTGCGCATTCGGCTCCACTCGGGTGCTGACATCGGCGGTGGAGGAGAGGTCACCAGCAACGGGCACTGAATTCAGGTAAGTGGCTGAATGGGTTGTAGCCCCTTCAGTGCCGAGGGAGGGGAGCACTCCAAGAGCCTATAGTGCCAGGAAAAAGGGTTTGTTTTCCTGGCACTATAGGAAACCTTTAATGCGTATATGTTGAGATCGCCACCCGCGCATTAGGCTTTCCCCATAGGAAAACATTGCATCAATACTTTGCTATGGGGATTTAGAACTCACTGGACGTCCTCAATCAAGGCCCGTCCAGCGTCGTTTCACGGAGTTAAGCACCACTAGTGACTGTCTGTAAGACATCCGTTATAGGCAGTCTTAACACTGCACTGAAAAGATTGTACTTTCTATAAAACTGCAGGGTTAATGGGGCAGGGACACTGCACCCAGACCTCCTTCAATGAGATGAAGTGGTCTGGGTGCCTACAGTGGCCATTTAAAAGTAAATTTAATATTTAGGCCAAAGTAGCTGAATTGGAAACATTCTCCAAATCAGCTGTTTTCAGTTTGACTATGTTGGGCTGAAATTTTTACTTAACTTTGACTTCCTGACAAACCACATTTTAGTGAATAACTCAGTTAGTTTGATTATGTAAATTAGAGATTGACAAATATTTGTAGAGTTAAGAAACTTGTAAAGCCAACATGATTATTTACATTTGCGCCTGTTGTGATCCAGGGAGGCAATATCTGTTCCGCCCCCCTGAAAAAGAATCAGATTTTTATAATACCGAGGATTTTTCTATCCCTTACTCTCTCTCACTCACTTGCCAAGGTCAAACATTGGTATAATTTTGATTAGTATTTTTTTAAAAACATTTTTTTTTTTTATATATGATCTTGTTATATTTGCTCTAGAACAGTCCTCTATCCCTGGTTAACAAGATGACTTCCGAAGCAACTATTTCCACATCGAGGACCAGAATTCAAAAACCAGGCTACCGGGACTACTACTGGTTGCGCTCATTTGTGGCAGGAGGTAACACATTTCTCTTTGCATCATATGGTCATTTAAATTACATTAACATGTTTATTTTGTAAAATCTGTATTCCTTTTACATATATCTGCCCTTGAAGTGATATTCCAAGCTTAATGCTACAGTCCCCTGGTGCAGTCCAACAGTAAACTATTAAACCATTTAAGAAAGGTTTGATACTTAACGGGCTTTGTTTTGTGCCTGCGTTGCTTTCTGTCTTGAGTTGATATGCCAAATTCTGCTTTACCATGTAATAAAACACTGTTATAAAGGTAAATAGGTAAATAGATATTAGGGTTTGTTCAATATACTGGGAATATAGGTATTTACAGATATAAGGCCAAAATAATGCAGGGCTTTTCTTGACACCTAAACCCTGGCCCCTCTGCAGCCACTTTGATAATGTTAACATTATATCTTTGTATTCTCTGTCAAAGCTGTCCAACCTTGGGTGATATTTGTAAGCTGTGAGCACAGGAGGGTTTCTTTATCCTGCTGCTCACAGGCAATCATTACTTCTGTAATGGTTAAGGTGCAAAGGTTGTTCCTTTTAAAACTCTTTCACCATAATCACTACAGCCTGCTCTGTCATAAATAATGGGGGCATGGAGTGAGGTCTAGCAGACTTTGGGTAAGAAATCAAACCATTAAAAAACTGACTACTTACAATGGGGGAGGGGAGGAGGGGAATGACACCAAAACCACAACAGCGAATTGTAGTACTTATTGTGCTTAGAGTATTTTTTTTAAACTTTGCTACATTTGTGGCTTACGGAATTTCCATTGTCTTACTCAAAGACCGTAAAGCATTTGCTTTCAAAAAACAAAAAAAATACAGATTTCTTTTTTTTCTTTTTCCCCCAGGTGTTGCAAGTTGCTGTGCGAAGACAACTATTGCGCCTCTAGATAGGATCAAGATTTTGCTACAAGCGCAGAATATTCATTACAGACACCTAGGTAAGTTTGTTATTGGACAGCATGGCTAAAAAGTTTAATTAGGGACCGTTGTTCAGTAAACTAGTTCAGTCCAATATTTCAGGTTTTATTCCAGCTCATATTGGGCTTGCCCACATGGCAATTTCTAATGTTGCTTTTAATTTTAAAGTAGAAATAAATGGGGCGGAGCCTGACCGCCGAGCTGTGCAGACGTGGGCAGCACGAGCTCTTGCCTGGCAGGCAGAATTTGAGGTAAAATCGGTGGCTACATAGCCAAAGGACTTAACAGGGTGCACTACCCACGTCGGGGGTGGACTGCTGAATCGAGTGACACCTCTATGGAGCCCGTCGAGGCCCGGAGCGCGGAACGACATGTTCGGACTACTGGAGTTGGAGCCGGGAAGAGGCGTCTGCTCCCCCTGACACCAGACTCACCAAGCGACTCTGCTGGTCTCCTACCCCCCCCCCCCCTTTGGACCGGTTGGGGTTATCCCAGTACCCACTGGGTGAACGGATTAAAGCTCTCCCTGCTGCCTCGACATACCGCTCACTGCAGACACCTCATGATGCTCCGACCACACAAGATGGCGGAGGCCCTTCCACAAGCATCAAGGGCCCATCCCAGACTTCTGGGACAAACTGCAGGCACGTTCCACTGCCATCCGGTCCAAACTGAGAATGGAGAATAGATCACGGATGGTGACGGGAGAGACACCTCCGGGCAGCGCTCCCACCCAAATGCCTCACCACACCAATGAACACCTGCCTAGGCCGAAAGCCACTAGACGCATGACCTCGAGACATCGACCAAACAGGTGGTAGATTGTATGCCGCTGGCGGCAGATGCCACCACGATCTTCCAACTGCCCCGTGGGGGGCCAGTACTTGGCCGTACAAAGATACAGAGTCCGTGTACAGAGGATGTCTGCTCTCATAAAGGCCTACGGCTGGAGGAATATCTCTTGTATCTGTCGCCCCCCAGCTGATACTGGGACACCGAATGCATGCTCAGCAGACCTGCCACCCCAATTGGCTGATGCCCACCGCGCAATGCTCAATGCCTTAATGTGTTAACGTTAAGTGCCATACTATCGCACATGTCTTTAGTGCAGCATTGTGTAACACTCTATGCCCCAGTGTTTAAAGCTTGTTAAGTAGGTCAGCTCAGCATATTTAACTTTGCCAACCTAATTATCCAAATAGCATTCCAGACATATACTCAGCCTGTTTGTCTAAGCACCTTATGCCTTTGTAGGAACGTATATTTCATATGAAACACTGTAGTTTAAAATGTGCAGCTTCACTTACAATATTAGGCTACTGCTATAAGCATGTTTTATTATACTAACTCTTCCTCCATTTGTAAATCTGGCTTTTTTTTTACCACATACATTGAGCATATTATTAATAAACACAACCTACTTTCAGAGGAACTCATAAGTATATCTCTACATTCGCATCTTATCTCAACGTGTGTGAAATGCGTACTAATCGAATAATTCTTACGTGCTATGATGTACTTTGTTTAATTAGCTCTTGCAAATCTAATCTTGAATATTTAAACTCTACATCTGTTCATAGTCCTGAAACAACAGTTTAGCATGTGTATATTTTACTTAATTAATATAACATGAGGCAGTCATTTTTAGGAGATGTTTAACCATGATGTGATATCCCTATCTTGTGTATTTCTCGTTCATCTCCCTTTCTTTATTCTGTATCACCCAAAACATATACCTTAATAAAAGCAAGATTGATTTAAAAAAATAAATAAATATGACTTGCTGAATGGGATTCAGAGATTTATGTGCTGCAGTTTCTGCCATACAGGTTCACACTTTTACCTCTGTTGGCAATAAGGGGCTTTTTTTTTTTCCTTTCAATAAAGCATAAATATTGCATGAGTTGTTACGCTGCATGTGTAGTGACTATAATGTGACCCAATCATCTTAATTATTAGGAATAGCAATGGGAAGCAGAAACCTGTATCACAAGATCTGGCTACCAAAACCTCCTTCAGACATATAACGTATTCCCTATTAAGTAGATTGTGACTTGGTTAGAATTTCTCAAAATGTTTTTGTTTCATTTATAACATTACATCTAAATAAGGAACACCATTTCTTGCATTCAGTGTTATCAACATCAAGTGTGAATTGAGAGTGAAATTTAAATATTAGGTAAAAATAGACAGATTGGAAGCATGGGGAGAAACTTCGCAAACACACTTCGCTATTATCCTAAAATCTAAAACTCACTATAAAATCCTGTCAATTCATGAAACTGCTTGATAATCAAATAGTAACTGATTTATTTCTCAGACCACCATTATTGTATTAATGGGATATACGCCTGACACCCCTTCTCAAGGTCCCTTTGCATCTCTGTGTTTAATTTTAGGGGTGCTAGCTACAGTATTTGCAGTCCGTCAGAAGGAAGGTATCCTTGGGTTGTATAAAGGAAATGGAGCCATGATGGTACGAATCTTTCCTTACGGAGCCATACAGTTCATGGCATTTGACAAGTACAAAAAGGTTTGTTTCATTATTTTTTTTATTTTGCTCTTCTTTTTTATTTTTTTATTTTTTTTTACTGTGTCTTGTTTTCTGGTCCTTGTTTGCCCCTTCATTCCGAAGCCAGTTAGAATGTAAGCTGCATTCAGTGTTTATAGGGGAACTGGTGTTTCCCTCAAAGTGACAGTTCCTCATTTTCCCATCCTGGTATAACTATTTCCAGTTCATCAGTATCTGAACTGAGTGACCTCAGCCACTCTGTCCCTGTGCTCCTTTAGCAAGTGCTGTGGTTGCAGTGCTGGACAGTAGGAGGATTCTACACTTCTTGTCAGTCAACTTCTCAGCATATGCAGACTCTGTGTTGAATAAGTGATTGACAGATAGGGCTGGGACCCTTTTAAAAATAAAAATAAAAAATTGTTTTGTTTTGTTCCAAAGTATACATTTGTTATAAAGTCTGCCTTTAAAACCACAACCACATACACTTCTGTGTACCATGGTAGGTACATTTTAAATAACTTGCCATTTTTTTATTTTTTTTTGTAAATATAATTTTTATTTCCTGTAATTGGGAATAATAGGTAATTATTGTGCAGACACGCAGGTCTGTAGGTTGTATTCAGCTTATTAGTAAAAAGAACAGAAAGGAAAACATGCAACAAGGCGGGCACGCAGGCCCAATAACAAAGTCGGACTCACAGGTCCCTTAAGTCAACGGTAAAGCTTAATTAGACAGAGTCCCCCCCCCCCCCAGAGAATTCTCATTAATCCCACGTTCCCCTGTTGTTTGGGGCAGATCATCCATCTTCGTCTAATTTGTCAGCCCCTTGGACTGGGCTCTTTGCCTACTTCTATGCTGTCTGCTGCCCTCCCCGCTATTGCCCCTCTAGTGTTCAGGTGTACATAGTTGTATTATCCTTATGTGAGAGAGGGACTATTGTGGTCCAGTCATGACTTGTTCTCAAGAGGTCACATCTAATGAGGACCTTAGTCATTGACGGACTGTGGTGATATAGTGGGCAGGGGTCCCATGTCAGAGGGGGATATACATACTGGGGGGTATGTTGCCCCTGTCTGTTGGACTTTTGACAGTTGGGTGGTATCCCCCATTTTAGTATATGGGAGGGTAAGTGGGGGGTAAGGTAAGCGTAGGGAAGGAGGAAGAGGGTCTGTCCGTCGTCCATGTGTCTGTCCAGCCGGTGTAACTCCCTGTCATTAGGTATGGAGCAGTGTCAGGAAGTCTTGTGTCGTCGTGGTCAATATCCAGTGGGTCCAGATGTCTAAGTATGTCTGATGTTGTTTTTCAGTAGCTGACATGGCGAGCTCTTCTACCGCTCGTAGCTCTTCCATCTGCGTAAACCATTTAAGTATGGAAGGAGTCTCTGTTTTCTTCCAGTATTGTGGTATAGTCTGCTTGGCCATGTTTAGAATTCGAATTGTAAGGGACTTTTTGTATTTAGAAATTGGTATAGTCGTGTGGTGGAGCAGCATTGCTGCCGGGTCTAATGGTGGTGGGTTATCGGTGAAGCGGGAAGCTATTTTATGAATTTTCCTCCAAAATGGTTGTACGAGTTCACATGCCCACCAAGTGTGTAGGGGTGTACCTGTTGTCTTTGCGCACCGCCAGCATAGGCTTGACCCGTGAGCGTGCGTGTATTGAGTCGTGTCCGGGGTACAGTACCATTGCGTGAGTATTTTATATGCTGTCTCCTGACTCTTGCTAAAAATGGAGCAATGGTGGGTGACCTCACAGATCTTTTCCCAGTCAGCCCCACTAAGTGTGTGATTGAGGGCCTCTTCCCATTTCCCCATGAAGCGTGGCGCGGCCATGGGTGTGAGTGTTTGTAGGAGGGCGTAGAGGTGCGAGATGCCATGTGGCAATGGGTCAGGGTCTGCGCATATCTGTTCATAGGCGGTGAGTTCCCTAGTAATGGCTCCTGCGCGGGGCAGGGTCTTTATGTAGCTCATCAGCTGTGCGTAGTGGAAGTGGGTTGCGAATGGTTGTGTGTGACCCCCGCATAAGTCAGCCAAGGTCCTCAGCCCCCGACCGGAGCACACATGTTGCAGCCTTGGCATTGGGTACTGCACCAGGGCCTGCAGTTCGCTAGGGTCCGTGCCCGGCGGGAAGTCAGGATTATGTGTGAGGGGAAGCAATGGGGACGTGTGTGCGGAAAGCGCGTGTCTACCGGCATTGCCTCGCCATATCCTCAGAGTTACTTTCGTATACGGGGAGTAGTGCGTTTCCCTTCCGTCCGTCCCCGCGGGGAGCCACGGGATAAGGGCGGCTGGGAGCTTAGCTATCCCCTCCTCTGCCTGTTTCCATAGTTTGTTGACCCCTGTCTTGGACCACTCCGCAACACGTTGCAGGTGGCATGCCTTGTAGTATAGTCGGAAGTCCGGTAGAGCCAGACCCCATTTGTGTTTGGGTTGAGTTAGCAGTGTGTATTTCAGTCTGGGTCTCCTCCCGTCCCAAACAAAAGCCCCTAGAGCCTGCCGGAGCTTGGCGAAAAAAGAGGATGGGATCGTGATGGGCAGGGCCTGGAAGAGGTAGAGCAGTCTCGGTAGAAAGTTCATTTTTATTACTTGGATTCTACCCAGCCAGGAGATGTGCGGGAGGGCCCAGTCCCTCATGTCTGTACGGAACTTAGCTAGTATCGGAGCGAAGTTCGCTGTGAATAACTCCGATTCCTTAACGGTCAGCCAAGTGCCGAGGTATCGGATTTTGTCTGTGGCCCATTGGAACGCGAAGCTCTGTTGGAGCTGTGCGGATCTCCTTGCGGGGATGCTTAAATTTAAGATATAGGACTTTGAGAAGTTAATCTTGTACCCCGAAAGCCCTCCAAAGGCCTGAAACTCCTGCACTAAGTTGGGAAGGGAGACTTCCGGGTGGGTTATGAAGAATAGTAGGTCATCCGCATAGGCGGCTAGCTTATGGTGTGTGTCTCCTATGTGTACCCCCTTAATGTCTGGGTGGTGACGGATTGCGGTTAGTAGGGGTTCTAAAGCCAGAACGAACAGTAGTGGGGACAATGGACACCCCTGTCGCGTGCCGTTGTATATCGGGAACGCCTCTGTGGGTGCCCCGTTGACCAGCACATGCGCCGTCGGGTGAGTGTATAGGGCCCTAACCCATCCACGCAGGTATGGTCCCATTCCCATGTGTGACAATGCCTGGAACATATACTCCCAACAGACCCTGTCAAAGGCCTTCTCCGCATCCGTGGATAGCAGGAGAAGGCCTGTGTCGTCCCCTGATTTTCTGTGCATAATCGTGAGGGCCCTGATGGTGTCATCTCTGGCTTCCCGGCCCATCACAAACCCCACCTGGTCCGCATGGACCAGAGAGGGCATGTGCTCCTGAAGCCGGGTCGCCAAGACCTTGGCCAGTAGTTTAATGTCATTGTTTATGAGGGATATGGGCCGGAAGCTCCCGCAGTGCTCCCTGTCCTTGTCCTCTTTCGGAATTATGGTGATATGGGTCATGAGTGCCTGTGTGGGTAATTCATGTCCCTCTCTGATGGCGTTGAACATGGCCAGTAGTGGGGGATACAGGGTCTCGGCATAGCTTTTATAATATTTGAGAGGCAGGCCATCGGGGCCTGGACTCCTACCCGGTTTCATGGATTTGATGGCGAGTGCTAGTTCCCCCATGGATATTGGTTCGTCTAGTTGATCTGCCGTGTCCGCCTCCAGGGAGGGAAGCCTATGGGTCTGTAGGTAGTCGTCTATTGAGGCCCGTAGGGAGCGTGACTGTGCGTCTGTGTGGGGGCGTGGGAGGGAGTAGAGTTCCGCATAGTATGTGCGAATAATTTCTTGGATCTTGGCCGGGTGTCTGTGTAGGACCCCTGCCTTGTCACGGATTCTATCTATATACGTGTCTTGTCTCCTTTTGGCCAGCATGCGCGCTAGAAGTTTTCCGCTTTTGTTTCTGTGTATTGCAAAGAAGGCCCTGTTTCGTAATGCGTCCCTTTGATAAGTTGAGTGGAGGAGAGTGGTCAGTTCCCTCCTAAGGCGGAGGAGTTTGGCCTGGTGTGTGGGGAGTTGGTGTTGTTTGTTAAGTGTGTCTGCTTGTTCTATGTCTGATAGCAGAGCGGCCATGCGGGCCTCTCTCTGTTTCTTCAGGAGTGAGCTTTTTTGAATAAAATGCCCCCTTATGACACACTTGTGTGCCTCCCAGCGTATGGTGGGGGGGGTTTGTTCGCAGGTGTTGTTTGTGAAGTAATCCCGCAGTGTCTTCCCAATGTCAGATGTGACCGTTGGGTTAGTGAGCAGTGATTCATTTAACCTCCACTTGGAGATCTTGGGTCTATGGAGGGGGGAGTGTAGTTTAATGGTCACCGGTGCGTGATCTGACCATGTCACGGTGCCCTGGTCTGCCTGTAGGACCAACGGTATGTGGTGACTGGGAACTAGGAGATAGTCTATGCGGGTGTAGGAGTTATGGGGGTGGGAGTAGAAGGTGAAGTCCCTTTCGTCAGGGTGAAATGCTCTCCAACAGTCCACTAATTTCGCTCTAGTCAGGAGAGCTTTAATGGCCATAAGATATTGCAATGAAATGTGTGAGTGACCTGAGGAGGAGTCCCATTTGGGGTCCAATGTTACATTCAGGTCTCCGCCTATTATCAAGATGCCTTCTTGAAAGCCTACAAGTGTGCGGAGCGTCTTGGCCAGGAATTTATATTGCCCGCGGTTAGGGGCGTAGAGATTGGCAAAGGTATATGTTGTGTTCGCGATCGTCCCCTTGAGGAATAGGAAGCGGCCCTCTGGGTCTGTCAGGACCCCTGTTTCTGTGAAGGGGAGGTGTCTATGTAGGAGAATCGCCGTGCCCCGTGACTTACCCCCCTGAAAGTCGCTGTAGTATCCTTTTGGATAGTGTTGGTTAGTCAGTGTGGGTCGTGAGCCTGCCCGGAAGTGGGTCTCTTGTAGAAACACTATGGAGGCGTGAGCCGCCCTGAAATCCTTATGAGCCCCGGCCCTTTTTTCTGGCGTGTTGAGTCCCCTAGCATTCAGCGTGAATATTGTGAGGGGGGCCGGTTGCAGGGACATGCTGGATTTGAGTCTATCACTCAGAGGTGACGTAGGTTCGTCCGTCCGTTAGTCAGGTATAAAAAGTCCGTCCTGTAGTCAGGTATAGAAGGTATGGGGTGGGGAAACTCGGGGGAAAACTGGGTAGGTCTGAGGGAAAGAAGGGGAGGATCGCACCCTCTAGGTCTAGGGACCGGGTACGGATTAGTGTCGCCGTATACGGCGGGTTATGGATTCGAGCGTTGGGGGAGCAGTGAGTCCCCCCCTCCCTCAGGTAGGGGGAGTGCACCGCGCACCCAAGTCTGAACGCTCCGGCCAATAGGGTAGCAAAGGAGCCCAAGAAACCCCAAGTAGGCAGAGCCCCGCGGGCCCGGGACGCTCCCAGAAAGATCGTCACGTTCCACTAAGAGCCCCGGAGCTCCGTCCAGTCGGGACATCCCGTTTCCCCGTCTCATGGCTCTCCAAGTTGGGAATGTAGCTTATGGAAAACCTCTATAGGCTAATGTGTGCATGGTCTGTGTCATGACCGCTGCCGGTGGGTCGTCTGGCCCACAGGTGTGACGTGATGTTGTTAGTCTATATTGAGTTGCCTGCCCGCCGCCCCCAGGTGACATGAAATGCCCCAGTCTGGGTCTATTCCCTCCCATTTGGGCGATAATCGCCCTAGTCATGCGGATGTGTGTCAGGGTGACCCTACAATGGCCTGTCTTAAAGCCCTCGCCCAGCCCTCCGTGCAAAGGTTCGAGGGAAGTTAGAAAAGCTTGATCCAGTGCGATGGGCTCCTCTGACCCCCGTGAATGGCTAGGTGGTGGTAGCCTAGAGCCCTCCCAGCGCATCTCAGCATAACCTGCCTGGGGGCCACGTATCTTGGTGTGTCTACGGGGGTTGGCTGGGTGTATACCTCGGGGCCTACTACTCCTAGGTCATATTCATATACATAAAGGTCCAGGGCTCAAGAGCGTCCATCCCCTTCTCCCTGTACCCGACCCATGCAGGGAGTGTCACTCTATCCGGCGTAGGGTCCCCCGGTTCCTCCCCCTCCCTGCTCGGCTCAAAGTTCTCGGGCAGTGGGGAAGCACGGTACTCCCATGCCCCCCCACCTCCCGGGGTAATACTTGCGGCATGGGCGAGGAAAAAGGTGCGTTGTCATCAGGTTCAAGGGTGGAAGTCTACGGCCCCTCCGCTTCCTCACGAACATAGGGCCCGGAGGTGAGAGCCCAGCTGTATGTCTCTTGGTTGGTGCAGTAAGGTTTCAAGGCGTCAAGAAAAAACAAGTCATCCCGTTCATGGCATGGTTCACGAGGTCATAGTCCCGGGGGGCGGCAGGGCAGGCGGCTTATCTAATTCGGTGTCCCCGCCTGTCTTGTAGTCTGTGTGCGGGGGGCTCACAGCCTGCGGGGTTTGGGGCCTGTGCCTGGAGGCCTGGGGCCTTCTGTGTAGAAACGTAGCGGGTTCGGCCAAAGAAGCTTCTCCGGCGACAGGTGCAGCTCACGTTGGATCGTCTCCAGATCTTCTGCTCCCGTGACCATGAAGGGGCCAGAGGGTGTTGCAATTTGAAGGCCCGTGGGGAAGCACCAGCGGTACCTGATATTTGTGGTCTGCAACTGCCTGGTAAGGGGCTTCAGGGCCCGCCGGTAGGCCAATGTAGCTGGGGACAGGTCTGGGTATAGCTGGATTTCTGATCCGTCTAGCAGTACCTTTTCTGTGGCACGTGCCTTACGCAGGATCTCCTCCTTGAGCTGGAAACTCTCCATGCAGCAGATGATATCTCTTGGGGGCCCGCCCGGGGGTCCTTGTGGCCTCAGGGCCCTGTGGGCTCTAACGAAGCCCATGTGCGTCTGGGACGGCCTAGCTAGGAGCCTGTTGAACAGCTCCAGCAAGGTGCTCTGTACCGGGGCTTTACTGTCTAGTTCCTCTGGGACCCCTCTCACCCGGATATTCTGGCGTCTCCCCCTGTTGTCGAGATCCTCTATATGCAGGGCCATCTGTCTCATCACTGTAGTGTGGTGCTGCAGCGTGTCGGTATTGGCAGCCTGTGCCGCTGCCATGTGGTCACAGTCCGCCTCGATCTGAGCGACTCGCTGGTTGAGGCCTTGGAGGTCTTCCCTCAGCGCGTGGAGTTCCGTCGTGATCGATGTGCGCAGTTCTGCGTTGGCCGTCCTGAGGTCTGCCTTGGTGGGTAAGTCCTTCAGTAGGGCCACCAGGTCTGGTACTGCGGTATACCCTGCAGTGGGGGTCTGTTCTCTCGTAGGGGAGTGTGGGGAGAAAATGGCCGACTCCATGGAGTCATTTGAGGCCTGCGGATCCATGTCCGCCTGTGTGAGCAGGTAGCGCTTCATTGTCGGGGTCGGGGTTCCCTTTGGGGCATCCCCCGGTCGTTGGGCATGTGAGGCTCGGTGGGTTTTCCCCATCACCGCGGTCAGGGTGCAGTTTAGCCGAGGTTATGAGCTGAGCCTGCGGGGAGCTCGAGGATTATGCTGCCATTTTCTCGGACCGCCAAGCCACGCCATAACTTGCCATTTTTAATCCATCTCTTCTGTTCAAATCCTCAACAGAATTCCAAGTGACTTCTGGTTTGCATATTTGTCTAGCTAGATAGATCTTTGCTCATAAAACCTGATATTGAAAGATCCTCCCGAAACTTTTATAAAAAGAGCTTTTGATGAACTAGAATGTGCCCTGCAGGCATTTATTCCAAAAATGGAATAAAGAAAGTCAATTACCACAGCTGTTGATATTGTTAAGAAGTTTTGTCACCTCTTCACCAGAAGGTTAAAATAAGATTTATAATATTTTTCCTTTTTTCTTTTTCTTTCAGTTAATAAGCAAAAAAATTGGAAAATCTGAGCATATACACAGGTTGATGGCCGGATCGATGGCAGGTAAAATACTTTAATAAAACAATGTGTCTGTGTAGATTTTAAACTCCATAAGAAGGGATTGTGGAACTACAGCCTCTATGCTTCTTTACTAGTTGTTTGTCATAGCCTTGGAAGTATAGAATGGATCATTGGAATGGTAATTTCACAAACCAATATATTGGCTATTCCAGCTGAGTAGTTGCAGACATTTAGGTCTCCAGCTCTTTTGCCTTTGCAATTCCCATAATCATTGGGCAGGATGGTATCATACTGACATGGCCAAAAGTAGATGTAACCTTGCATTTTAATAAAAAACTTCAATGCACCATTCGCTCTGAACGTCGACCCGAGTTTGCCAAAATGCATGTGACAGGCCACAATGCTTTTAGGGGAATATCCTTTGGATAGACGAAACAAAAGTAGAGCTTTTTGGCAAATTACAACTACTCTATGTTTATAGAAGGAAAAAACAATACCATCCCTACTGTCAAACATTGTGGCTCTGTTATGTTTTGTGGTTGCTTTGCTGTCTGGCACTGGGTTCCTAGTATCTGTGCACGACACAATGAAGTCAGAAGACTATCAAGGCATTCTGGAGTGAAATGTACTGCCCACTGTTTCATAAAACTGTGTCTCAGTCGCAAGTCATGGGTCCTCCAGTAGGATTATGACCCAAAACATACCTCAAAAAGCACCCAAGAATGGATGAGAAGAAATCATTGAACTGAGAGCTGAAACATGCAATTGCGAAAAGGCACCCATCATACCTATGAGAAATGGAGAAGTTTGCTCAAGAAGAGTGTGCCAAAATCCCAGTCGACAAGTGTAGAAAGTTATAGAAAGCGATTGATAGATAATATATTTTTCTTTTCATATTTTGAAAAATATACATATGGTTTTTATCTAAAAAATATTAAATCATTTGAAACAATGGATGGTACTCTAGGACATTGTTTTTATCCTTGCTTTGAATAATTTGTTTGCTGTTGTCAAACAGATTGGATTTTGTTTAGATAGTTCTGTACACACAGTCAGATGCTACAATGTAAAACAAGTCTATTTGTTCAACTTCCAGGTATCACTGCAGTGATTTTCACATACCCACTGGACATGGTCAGAGCACGACTCGCATTTCAAGTTAAAGGAGAACACAGATATAATGGGATTATACATGCTTTCAAAATTATATATACTAAGGTATTTCTTAAATTATTCTCGTCTAAATAGATAATAGTTTAGGTAGGTAGAAAGGTTAGTAGAACAACCATGGAAAAGCATTGCAATGTGCTTTACCTTAGAGATGTGTTTATTTAATACGTCTTATTTATCTTTTACCATGGATATATATGTCTAGATCTGTATCTGTGATAGACCAGGGTGAGTCCTTCAATCAGGAACCTGTCATTTTGTAGGTAACCATCACCCTCTGGTAGACAGCTGCAAGTGGCAGTCTTAACCCTGCAATGAAAACATTGCAGTTTATCTAAAACCACAACATTTCACCTGCAGGGTTAAGGGGACAGGGACAGTACAGCCAGACCACTTCAATGAGATGAAGTGGTCTGGTTGTCTATAGTGTCCCTTTAATTCCCAAAGAGTTTATGGGATAAGTAGCTTTTCCACAATAACCTTATAATTTACAGTATGTGTATTACAAAATTGCCACGATCATTCTATGCTCACTGGTGGAAGAACTAAACTGTAAATATTTTAGTGTGGAATAAGATTCTCTGCATTTGGTATTTGTTTTCTTTTGAAAACACATTTATTATAATTAACAAAAATCTTTTGCAGGGACACGTGCTGAAGGGTGTGTAGGGAAGTGATGGCTAGCTTCCTTGTTTATGTAATAAATATGCAGTTAGTTGTTTAGCAATAAAAATGTGGGGGGGAAAACACAAAACAAGTATATAGAAATATAAAGTACAACCTGGAAAAATTAGTAGGTATAATATACCAACAAAACAACATAGATGTTTTTTTTGCCATTCTTTATTACGCTAAGTGAATAGTAAGTAGAACACTCACAAACAGACAAGGTATTCAGGCGTGATCTGTTCCTAGTACCCTTTGAAGGGTACTAGGAACAGATTTTCTCTGGTATGTCTTCCTTATATAAAAATGATGAATAGCCACTATTAAAATTTATTGTATTGCACTTATAGACAGAAGAAATTGATGGGCATATCTCCACAAAGTGGTAATCTCAGCATTATGTTAATAGATAGAAATATAGGGAGGGTTATTTTGAGGTATTTAAAGTAAAATCACCATTTACGGCAATCAAAGAAGAATAAGAACAGATAAAACAAAATGATGAAAGTGATGACCTTTTGAGTGTCACGGTTTTCTACAATCTTGAGCTTAAAGTTTTGTGGGGTTTTTGTTGTTGTTTTTGTTTTAGGAAGGAGGACTTCCTGGATTTTATAGAGGACTCATCCCTACTGTTGTTGGAATGGCCCCTTACGCAGGTAATTTAATCTGATAATGATCTTATATACTATACAAATCCAGTATTATCATTCTATGATTTCTACTGGAAGAAGAGAAATAGAGCTATTTTGACACATAAGGCATGTCATTGAAAGATTGTAGAGTAAAATTAGATTCTATGCATTTATATTTGGTTTTTTTTTTGGAAAATTTGTCCATAAAGGGAACAAAAATCATGCTGGAGAGTGTTTAGAGTATTGATGACTAGCTTTTTATTTTATTTTATTTTTTTATTCCAGCTGTTGTGGGCTACTTTTGCCAATCAGTTGACATAGGAAACCTGTTCCACAGCTGGAATGCTAATGTGTGCCATTATAGGTGTGGGCATAAAAAAAAGGAAACATTCACAACTTGCTGACAATATTTCAAAGCCAGCTAATATTGTGCCCTGTTTGTATTACAGGATTTTCATTTTTCACCTTTGAGACCTTGAAAACCACGGGTTTGAAACATGTACCCGAGCTGCTGGGAAAACCGTCCCGGGACAATCCAGATGTGCTAGTTTTGAAGACACACGCAAGCTTGTTGTGTGGTGGTGTTGCTGGTGCTATTGCACAGACTATATCGTGAGTTTGCATTTTTTTCTAGCCGGTGAACTGAAACAAAACAAATTTAAATCGATCACTAGACAATTAGAAATTGTTGCGGTTGTGTCCTGAAATTAATGGCTGGAAGGAGAGCACTATTTTGTTGTGAAGCGTGGCACACTATGCATTAGGGAAACCTGACTTTTTCATAGTAAAGCTGAGAGGTATCTTGCTCAGCACAGAGTGCAGTGTTTATGAAAAATATGTAAATTTAGCCTCATGTTAAAATCATTGTTTTAAAGAAAAAAAATTGCCTCCATTAACGACATAGCATCTTAAATGGGGGCTATAGCTACAAAATCAACTTTACCTTACCAAACAGGTATGGTGTATAAATTGTGCCCATGCAGTCTCACAGCTCAATCCTCTGCCATTTAGAAGAGGTGTGGCCCTGGCCTCCTTACATGTGGCTTACACAACCTTCCTAAACACTTCCTGTAAAGAGTCATCTAATGTTTACATTTCCTTTATTGCAAATTCTGTTTAATTCAGAGTTTCTTATCTCTTGCCTTGTTAATAACTTGCTAGACCGTATAGGAGACTCCTGGATTTACAGGAGTTAAAAACTGTTAAAGTAACTTAACAGCTGATTGAAAATTAAAGCATTTTCTTTTCATGCAGGCGGTGTCGGTCACATCTAGGGGAGGTGTGGCTAGGGCTGCATAAACCGTAACAAAAGTGATTTAGCTCATTAATGGCAGAGAATTGGGCAGTGACACTCCAGAGGCATGATCTATACACAAAAACTGCTTTATTAAGCTAAATTTGTTTTGGTGTCCATAGTGTTTAAAATAAAATTAAAAAGTTTAATTTGTAGTATATATACACACCTATATTCTCTCATTTTGTAAATTTGTAACTAATGTTGATTAGTAGTGATAGTTTTTATTCTGTTGCATTGAGTGTTGGGTATGTCTTTAAGAATGTCAGTCTGTAGTGGGTAAAAACTAATTACAAAAACACCTGATAGTAGTGTTGGAGTTCAGTGATTCTCAACCTTTATGTAATTATGTAGACTTATTTTCCAGTAAATTACCCACTAATATAAAGGTGTTTTTGATTAAAGGTTCCATTTCTGAAATGTACAGTGTTACTGACCTACTCCTAAGTCCAATCAGAAGTACATCAGGTGTACACGCAATACATGTTGAACGCTTTGGAAAAGAGTACCATAATACCTCTTTTTAAAAAAGTGTTATAAACAGTGGTATTTAATTCTGTTACTTCATGTTTCCTAAAGTGTCACTGTTCTTTAGATGGACCATTCATATTGTCTGGGCTGATAATGGCAACATCTGGTGTTTGTTTTTTTGTTTTGTTTTTACTAATACTTCTAGAATTATTATAGCTATCCTTTGGACGTTACCAGACGGCGTATGCAGTTAGCAGCAATCTTGCCAGATTCTGAAAAGTGCAGGTAAGCCTCTAAAGCAATCTGTACTTTACAACAATGCATATATACATACAAAAAATGAAAGAGGTACACTATCCTAAATATGCCTGCATTTATATGGTACTATAACAACTGGTAATACAGCGCTTATAAGGAAGTCTGTGCACAGCTGTACAACACAGGTTATATTGAGTAAACTTTGGAAATAGGTAAACATTTTATGAATTGACAATAAATGTCCTATTTTACATATATATTTAAACATGATGTAACCTTCTGATATCCTCAAATATCACAGATATCTATATATTCCATTTATTTGAATGAACATTTGTAGGGGTGATTGAGCGCCCCAGACTGCACCTACCAATTGTTCATATTAAATGTTTGTGTTTTTGTTGCATACTTGCATTCACATGGCTCTAAAGGTTACAATGAAGTATAAATTTTTAGGAACTGCACTGGTAATGTTTGAATTGTAGCCATCACAATTCACGTTTTTGTCATAGGGTATTTATTTATTTTAACCTGGGGGATAAAGAACATCAAAGCGCACATTGCCATTGCTGTAGCTATTTGCCATTTCTTAATCAGACATGGAGCTGTTGCATGATCCCTTGTACATACTTGTACTGCGTGCATTATAATATATAACAGAGTTGATGCCTGCTTAGCAGACAAACATGGGTCTCTTTGTTACAATGAGGGTAGCTGATCCCTCATGCCCTAATTACTCTCAGATCCAAGTATTTTAAGTGCTGAAGGTGGAAACTTGGAGGCTCTGCTACTCCAAGTCTGCAATAGAGAAGATGTTAAACGTTCTCATGAGTCATGATATGTGCCATTCATCAAGTTGCTTGCAGTGATTCTTTTTAGATGGTAGTAATACCATTACTTAAAATTTCCACTTGCCCACTACGTATTGGCAAGTGAAAATTCAGACGTGGTGAGTAGAAATTCACCCCTGCTGAGAATGTCGTGGACCCTCTAGGTTTGCAGTGGCAAGTAACTTTTAGGCTTGGCTAGTAGCGTAGAACTTGACATTTTGAGCCTTGGTAATACCATAAACAATATAAACTTTTTTAGTGTATGAAATACAATTACACTCACACTTATTGTAAAATGGGGTAGTATATTGTGTTCATGTAAATTAACACATTTTATTATTTACCTTGCAGAAATTCAATCCAATAATACTTTTTCCACCTTACTTATTTTCAGGACAATGCTTCAGACTCTAAAATATGTTTGCAAAGAACATGGAATAAGGAAAGGCTTGTACCGCGGGTTGTCTCTGAACTACATCCGTTGCATCCCTTCTCAGGCAGTGGCTTTTACAACCTATGAATTTATGAGACAGATTTTGAGATTAAATTAGTGGCCAATTTAATTTGTACACTTACTACTACTTGTACAGTGTAAAATAATATGCTGCATTAAGGAAAATTAATTTTCCTTTTTTGATTTACTTTTTTTTTATTTTTTTGTAACTGCCTCCCAAGTGTTGAACAAAAAAATCAGTTTTCTTTGGTTCTAGATCAAATCTTCTGTCAACTAAAATTAACTTCCTGTTTGATAGTTGCAAAATCCAACTGCACTACTACGATTTGTGTGTGTGTTAGTATGTGTTAAGTTTATTTTTATTGTGATTTGTATGCAATAGGATGTCTCATAATATTTATAGTTTCTGTAATTTAAAACAAAACCTGTTTAGGTAAGAATATAGAATTCCAGCTGGCTGATAAGTATGTTTTTATTTATGTTGACTACTCAAAATATATTTTGTTATTATCTTTAATATTGGGCAAAGTAATTTGGATGGATCAGCAATATGCTATAGTACTTGGTGTCACTATTAATGATGTTAAAATTTGAACAGTAAATGTAGCATAGAAAAAGTGCACATTTTATGTTTTATGCTCTGTTAATTTGCACAGTCGTTCCTTTACGGGAAGGGGGTTGGAGTGTTTTGTACTCCACACTTGTATATAGTATTTTCTTTATTTTGGAGAGGTCTCAATCAGAAAAATTGTTGATATTTTAAGAGAGATCTTGCTTCTTTGACATAAATTACCTGGAGCAGGGTTCATGCTTGTTCGGAGAAAAGTATTACATTTCCAGACATCAAGGTAATATGGAAGGCACGATACATCAGTTAGTTTTAATATTAAAAAGAAATGCACCCTTTAAAAAGGAAACATTAGAATTGTAGACTTGTTTGTTTTTTTGTACACTATTTTCAAGCTTGTACAATTTTAGCATATGATCAATACGCTATGCTAATTAAAAAAAAAAAAAAGCAAAAAAAAGCCAATAAATCATTTTTAGTAAAGAAATTGTGGATTGCTGAGACGTTCAAAAGCTTTTAAAATATAAATTCAGACCAGGTTTACCCATCTATTACTTTTTCAAATGTATAGTAATTTTTTTTTTCAGCCACATAAATACTTACAGAGGAAAGATACAATAGAATTGTATATGAATGTGTAATGTTTTGCAGTAATATTAGTAATATTATCCCAAACTGCGTGCGGAATCTTAGGGGAGAAAGATGATCTACGTTAACCTAATGACATAGGAAAGTTGGACCAGTGAGTGTTCATGCAAGTGCAACATTAAGCACTTTAAATGCAATCCCAATACTGTCTGCTTCAAACTGGTACCCAGTTTGTGCTGACTGCATGGAAGCATGTTAAGTAGGCTAGGGGGCCCTGATGCATTAGAAGTAAAGCAAAGGACTACCCGCTGCTTCTCTCTAAAATTTTTACAGAACCCTGGATGTTACTTGCATAACACCAAGTGATACTTTGAGTCCATTATAACATGTTTCGACTGACTCTCTTAACAACAAATATCTTACTATTCTACAGCAATTTTTTAGCCATCTGTGGTTTTAAAGGGTTTACTTAAGGAAAATTTGAATTAATTTTGAAAACATTGTCCTTTTAAGTGGAAATATTGAATAGTAGCTACTGTTAGAAAAAGTTCACTCAGAATTAAAGGGCATTTTAAGACACTTATTACTGCTACATTTAGCAAATAATTAGTCGTGTGCATCTATTTCCTTTATCAATAAATGACAGAACATGCAATAACAAGATAAAGAGTTGCACTTTGCTTTAATGAAGAGGGCAGTGCATCCATAGTTTTATATTTTTCTGTTTTAAGTTCTGCAAGGTCTACCAGCTATTTAGTACTCAGGAAGCACTAACCCTAATTTATCTGCTGTAGCAGCAATATATTTCAGAAAAGGTATACACGTTAAAGGTCCTGGGTGTTGCAATTTGTTCAAGAATAGTTTAAAATAAGCAGTCACTCTTCCTTAGTCACAATGATAGTATGGTATTAATACTTTTGCTTTATCAATGTCAAGATCAACCAACCTGAATGGCAGTGTTTTGGCTGAGAGAGCTGATGGCCGTTTAGCCAAAGGATTGGGCCAGGACACTAAAAGCACCTTAACCTCCTTGGTGCTGCCTGATGGTAATGTCTCACATCGTTTACAAATGGCTTAACATTTAACGTGCATTGGGCACCCATGGGCATTATGTTCTGAGTTGGTATGAAAAAACAAAAGTTCAATACAAGTCTCAAAATCATTCGTAAACCATCTGACAAATGACTGTCGGCCAGCGCCCAGTGACTTTTTCCACCATGACCACTGCAGTGCACTTTAGTGGCTATGGTACTTGCTGTCTTTTTGAGGGGCCAAAATCAGAAGTAGACCTTATTCTAGACATTTTTTTACTGCAATATTCAAATGTATAGGGTGTAATGGTTTGTTTATGATCTATACTAATTTTTACTGAGATATTAAAATTTTTAGGGTGGACTTATTTGTTTATGATCAGCAATCTATACAAATGTATGCAATGTAATACAAATTAAAGAATACTCAGGTAGATCAGGGGCCCATAGAGCCACCCTATGGCTCCTGTTTGTGCAGCTGGCTGATTATAATATAGTTTATTATAATATATCTGAATCTGCATACATAACGATTTTAAATGATGATGTGGTTGTATGATTGCACTCAGTGTTATTTTTTTTTCTTAATTGTTCATTGTGCAGGATGAGATCTACATGTTTATGTATTTCTGGGAACTCAATCTTAAGAATCTTTAACCATTTGTTATTTTAATTTTATTTTCGTCTGTATTTTAGATTTTGTTTAGAAAAGACATCTAATTTTAAAAAATGTTTCCTTCTTTTTGTATCTCAGGTCCATATTTCTTGTGCTATTTCATATTTCTGTCAATACCTCTTTTAAATCAGACCTGCTTTCAATACATAACATTTAGAAGTATTTTTTAAAAATATATTTAGGTGCTTTTTTGTTGTGTGTTGTGTATTCTAACTTACAAAACACACACACACACGTGTAAAAATCTCAAACAGCATTACAGTTGTATCGTATTCAGTCTCATCGAAAAGCATTGAACAATCAGTATGGATCTCTCTCTGTATATATGATTTCTCTAATGAACAAAATTATTTTTATGTTATTTCTGTTTAACATTTCTGTAACATTTACAAATACAGAATTCTAAAATGTGTTGAATTATTGCATTTTTGAAGTCTACATAAATTTTTTGTGCAATGTACTCCCTTATAAAAATAACTCAGTACTGACCCTAAGTGTCAAACTATTAAACCTCAAAAATAAAGTGTGTCCACTTCATGTCTTAATAAGGAGAAATTGCTTTCATTGTGTTATATTATTTTGATTTCCTGCCGGTCAATACAAACATGTATAGCGACAGGGCCCAGCCTCAACCTTCAAAATTCCATATGCACTCTCCATTTTTACTCTGCAAAAATAACTGCAATTTGTTTTACTGGCCTGCATCATATGAAAACGTATTGTGAAACTTAACCCATACACTCTGGCACTTTACACAGTCTGTGTACATAGTATGTGTACAGCAGCTGAATTGAAATCCTGCTGGCATGAATTAAAAACAGGATCTGTGACTTGGGGGAGAAATGCATACATATTATACATAATTAACGCCTCCATTTTATATTTTTGGATAAGCTTTTCAAATGATTTAATATATTGTATAATATTCTAAATTAATAGGTGATATTTTAATATTTTGAAAAAAATCTAAAATATTAGATTTGGGCCTAAGTTAGCTTGTTCATATGATTCCCTGCTAACTGCTCATGACTGCACAAAGGCTATTTTTATGAACATGAATAGGTGCAGGTAGAGCATCTCATAACTGGTGGTGTGAATAATAGATTGCCTCAGGGGCTTAACTCTGGCTCTCTAGAGAGCTAAAGGAGCCGGGGTGTAAAACTTAACTTTTATTAACGTCTTGAAGAGGTTTTTTGAGGGGGTTATTTTTATATAACAAAAATCACACAACGTCTCACAAACACTCAAAGTTAGTGGAGCAATTACATCTCTAGAAGTGTCAATACTTTCTTCTGTCTCCCAAGTCGCCTACAATCAGGGCCGGACTGGTCCACTGGGATACCGGGAAATTTCCTGGTGGGCCACGGCACCTGGGGGCTGCGCTGCCACATAGGTGGCACACTGAGAGGGGGCCGGCTGCGTTCCAGACTGGAGCCGCCAGGCCGGATGGCAGCTTCGCCGGTCCAGCGGCACTCCAATCTCTGATGGCTGAAGGAGGAGGAGCCTGTCTACCATGCTCCCTCGCGGTTCCCACAATTCCCAGCACAGGAACCGCAAGGGAGCATGATAGACAGGCTCCTCCTCCTTCAGCCATCAGTGACTGGAGTGCCGCCGGACCGGCGAAGCTGCGGCCCGGCGGTTCCAGTCTGGAATGTGGCCGGCCCCCTGCCTTCTCTAAGGTAAATTGGGGGGGAGGGAGGGAGGGAAAGGGGAGAGACACAGGGAAAGGGGGGAGGGAGAGGGGATAGACACAGGGAACAGGGGGGGAGGGAGGGAGAGGGGAGAGACACAGGGAAAGGGGAGGGAGGGAGAGGGGAGAGACACAGGGAAAGGGGGGAGGGAGGAGAGAGGGGAGAGACACAGGGAAAGGGAGGGAGGGAGAGAGATGGGGAGGAGCGAGAGACAAAGAGGGAGAAATGAGAGAGAGACACAAGGGGAGAGGAAGAAAGAGGCAGAGGGGGAAGAGAGAGACTGGGAAGGAGAGGGGAGACATTGACACATACACACACTGCCCCCCCCCCCACACACACACACACTGACACACACACCATACACATTCACACACTGCCCACACACACACCATACACATTCACACACTGCCCCCCACACCCACACACTGAACCTTTCACACACATTGCACCACTGCTCCTATACCCTACTACAGCCCCATATCCCAGCAGACTCCAGGTAAGTTGTCAAACTGTTCTTAAACGGTTTGACTACTTACTCTGGGAGGGGGTGCCGACACTCCTGGCACCATAACCACTACACAGAGGAGTAGTGGTTATTGTGCATGGAATATTTCTTTAAATAATCTACAAGTGCCCCTCCCGGGCTCAGGCTCTGGATCCGTCACTGGTATATGACATGTATATTAATGTGTATATTTGTTGGCACAATAACATATTTAAAGTGAAGAGCACACCCACAGGACTTCAAAATAAATTTTTTTTACAGTTGTGCCCTACATACATTCACCATTTCAGTCCAATTAACAAGCTTTCCTTAATATGTCAAGGTGGTTGGACTGAAACATTGATTACATGCAAAGGCACGTCTGCTTAAAATAAACCTGCACTTTTGTTTATTTTGAAGCCTATGAGTGCGCTTTTTACGTTGAAGTACTTTTTAATTTTAAGTTATCTGTTCTAACTCTGTATCTGCACACTATGCTGGCGCGACGCATTATGGGGCTGGTAAATATTTTTTTTTCCAGGGCTGCTTTTAATTCCCAGTCTGGCCCTGAGGTTAATGTAGTGGTTCTGATACAAAGAGACTGTCTCTGCAACATCAGCAATACAAACACTGCCTTTTCTGAAATCAGCAATATTTACATTGTGTTCTAAGGCCAACAATTGTGGAATTGCTCCAGGAGGCTCCTGTAGTATGTAGATGAGTGAAAGTAACTAGAGGAGCCTCCTGGAATGGTACTGCAGTCTTTGCAGAACCGTTTGGCAAATTCACGCTCTGCAACACACTCTGTAAAGAGATGCTGAAAGGCACAATGAGCAAAATTGGCGCTGCAGAGTGATTGCTATGCATGCACAATAGCCCCTCACTGCTTCGCTATGGAGAAGCTTTGGATTGGTTGAAATCATCTGTAATGATGATCTCAGCCATAGGAAAGTAACAGCTTTGGTAAGACTGGGGCACCGTGAACTAATGGTAAGTAAATCTTATTTTTTTCTACTATTTAAGGATGGTGGGGATAAACACTCAATGTTATGAATGTATGGCAATGTTTTAAATCAGGTTAAAAGTGCTCCTTGTTCGATGTCTACAAGGATGTTGAATGTCAGCAAATGGATCTCACACGGAAACATTGGATTCAATGTTTCGGTACAAGAAGCATTTGACTGGATGTATGCGTGCACCACTCACTGCACATGTGCTTCTTATCCCTAATGCTTCCCTATGAGAAGCAATGGATTAGATAAGCCTCCAGGATGACGCTGCAAGAATAGGAGGAAGACCCAGCAGCCGCAAGTGAGTCTTGACCCTGAATAAAAGGTAAGTGAAAACTTTAAAACCAATTTTTACAGGTCAAAAGCGGTGTGTGGGGGTTGGGGGGCTAGGACACATTAACATTAGGATTACATGTTTACAACCCTAACACTATAGTGTTCCATTAAGCCTGGAAGGGCAATAGACCATCCCTGATCAACATATCAACGCGCATGTACTGGAAACAGAAATCAGAAGATAGACACATTTCTATATGGGAAAAAAAAAGTGCTTCCAGTATATAAAGGTAGCAAAGGAGAACAAGCTACATCCTAAAAGAAGATATAGGCTTTAAATTATGCCCCAAAAAGGGATATAATCAATAATCACTGTAACAAAGGGACAACAGGTAACCATCCATACTGATCATACCAGAGATTTCTTGTATAAGGCGGCAGCTTAAATAAGAAAAAAAACACAACGGTGTCCTAATTTTAAATATTAATTGATGGCGATCTAGAAATAGTTACCTAGACTACAATAAGATATAACTTGCTGTGTTTAGAGTAATAGATAACCAACTCCATAGTCACTTTAACTCATGCTACACCATATATACTGAATATTGCATTACTGTTCTGTATAGTCTGCACTTTTGAAGTACCCAGATGCCTGTGTACATGTTAATATCTGATATCAATGCTTTATTTGGAGTTTGAATGAGGACCAAAGATGAGAGCAGGAAAGGAACCTCTCTAGGTCTATCGCAGACCGCTCATCATGAGTTCATGCTATTTCCTGCAGTAGTAAGGACATGTGTCATACACACTGGAAGAGGGCTAATAACACGGCCAGGTCTTACATAATAAGAGTGCACCGAAGGAGAAGGTAAAAATCAGCACCTTGAAATGTAGGGTTATATCGAATCTAGAAAACTAATAGTTATCAAATATAGAGATATAAAGATGGTGGGAAGCTAGATCTACCTCCAGCATTTGACACTGACCATGACGCAATGAGACATAAAGCTCTGTTAAACACCATACACCTATAGATACATTTATTAAGGAAACAAATCATTCACATTAAAGAGTTCTGACTCCATTCCCTGATGCTGCTAATCAGTGACAGCTCAAGAAAACAGGATAATAATATGTAGGCCTTTCTTTTAGGATGTCCAGGATCTGACGGCCCTGTGTAAAGCCAACTGGTGACATCAGAAATTTCTTTAGAGCAGATTAAGTATGTCTGAGTGGTTTATGATTAGAAAATATGTTTTGTTTCCTCCCAAAATAGAAATATTACAGACAAGTTTTTTTTCTAAAGAAATCATTAGTACTTATCACACCTGTATATATGTGTCAGCCTCTAGTGAGATAGACATAAAGCTGTCTCTGTGTCTTATGATATGAAAACTTAAACAACTCAACAAACTGTCCCTATATCCTACTTAGATTATCTCCATTCAGCTGAACACAGCCTGTTCCTTATTCAGTTAAGGTGGAAGCTGTTGTCCAGCCTGCAGGTATTCAGGGATGACCTTAGAAATTTAAGACACCCCATGCAAAACCTAGCAGTGAGGTTCTCCACTATGTGAATGTGAGTGATTGTCTATGCCAGATATCCCATATGTGTGCACTGTCAGCATGTGTATATGCCAGATGTCTAGTGTGTATCATACCTCCCAACATTTGCCTTATTAAAGGACCACTCTAGGCACCCAGACCACTTCAGCTTAATGAAGTGGTCTGGGTGCCAGGTTCCTCTAGGATTAACCCCTTTTTTTTATAAACATAGCAGTTTCAGAGAAATGCCCATGTGCATTCAGCCGAAGAGGAGGAGAGGAGGAGGAGAGCTCCCTGCCCGGTGCTGGAATAAAGGTAAGTTTAACCCCTTTCCTCCCCATCCAGCCCGGCGGGAGGGGAACCCTGAGGGTGGGGGCACCCTCAGGGCACTATAGTGCCAGGAAAACAAGTATGTTTTCCTGGCACTATAGTGGTCCTTTAATGGAGGAAATACCTGAAAAAAGACCATGTCAGGTTAACTAACAATTCACTATGGCCAGCCGCATTCGAGGACGGAATATGCCGAAGCCTCAAACACTCTG